CCAGACCACAAACATAACCATGTAATAAAAATAAGCAACTAGCTCACATGCATGTATGTTTTCGACTCATATCTTTAGATCTTCAGACAGAAAAGTTAAAAAGAGAGGAACACACTCATTCAATCAGTTCTCAGCTCAAAGAGTCAAATAATGACTTTTATGTCTTACAAATATGCAAAAGAAAACATGTTGGATCATGATGAAGACAGCATGTTGGTCTGATTTGTTCACATCATTTTACTTCTGTAACATGAGTGTTTGCAGTTTGCACCATGTTTTAATTAGGAATAGACTAAAATTAATTGTCCCACAGTGGTGAACATTCAGTGTTGCATCACAATAACTATATAGAAAAAAAATATATCAAAATCCCCAACTTTGGCATAATAAAGAAGCAAGTATAAAATATCTAGCATTAGCATAAAAAGGAAGCAAGAATCACGTATTAAATCTCTGACTGAAAATAGGTACCCCAGCTTGAATTAATAACTTTGGAGACAAGAAAAAAATCACACATTTACATATATGTTGGCGTGTTTTTCTACAGTAAGTAAGCAATTGTTTATTTCAAACCTATATTTCCCATACTGCAGAACAAAACAAACAAGATACTGTACAGACGTATAATTTGAAAAGGACAATTACGATTTTCCCAAATTATTATAGTTCATTGTGAAATCCCTGGGACTGGCCCCTTAAACCCGCTGGTACTAGTCTACTGTCCTGTCACATGTCACTGGGCTAATCAATGAGCTCTAAGCCCACAGCGTCCGCCTGGATTAAGCTCCATAGATCCCAGTGTTAGACTCTCTCTCTACTGTAGCTGCGGAGGTACAGTCTGCAATCAGCTTGGTAAGAGCCGTTATGAGAGCGATTCAATGATTACAGTCCAAACACAGGAGGGTGCAGGTCTGAGGACGGCAGCGAATACACGACCAGAGCTTTCTCCACGCTGCAATCAGGGAGCTGGGCCTCTCCAACAATCAGTACAAGTGTTCATCAAACCCAAATCCTTGTTTTTTTATTTTGTATTGCTTCAATTTTCATGTTTATTTGAGACGTTCATCGAGTACATTGTTCTCTGACATAAAAGCAATAGCAATTCAAATCAATTTATTTGTTATAGTTCTAAATCATAACAGCAGTTTCTCAGAGGACTTCACAAAAAAGTTGATTCACCAACAACAGATCAGAGAATCAAATATTTAGAACAGGAAATGCAATAATCATTCAATTCAGGCGGAATTAGGGCAGAAGTAGATCATGTTTACATGCAGTAAACTTTACATTTTTGCACTACATGACTTAAAGGAGCAATATGTAAGATTTTCATGTCAAGTCATCATTAAATGGCTCTAATCTGTCAAAATGCATACATAAACTGTGCTCTTTTCGAATACTTGTTAAACTGATAACAGTCGGCCATTTGAATTTCAAAATTAGTTTTACAGCCCCTAAATCTTGTTATTGTTTTCATTTCGATGTCCCGCCCTCCACCGTTTCACCAATCAGAAAGTCTGTGATCCGGGTAAAGCAACATCTCATTATGATTCTTAAATCATTAATGCTAAAACAAGGAATCAAACCGGGATTTCTATCGAGGTCTTTGTGTTGGTTTTAGATTTATTGTTGACAAAAATCTTGTCTATTCAGATATTATGTTCCCAGCTGGATTTGTCTGCATATCTGGCAACCTGAGTCAGGGAGAGTGGCAGAGGTTACAGTACCATTTTTGGCCAGGTTTTTAAATACTGCTCCTTTTATCTACCGTGTACTTGTCTGTGCCATTGCCAGAAATAAATGAATGAATGAATGAATTAAAAACTAGTGAGTAATTAAAATCTCTGAGGATTTCACAAAAAAGTCAATTCACAAACAACAGATCAGAGAATCAAACAGTACATGCAATAATATGCACTAATAACAAACACATAGGAGCCATTGGTTCATAGGGAGCAGGATGAGCAAAGTCTCTAAATGTTCTTAAATGTCCCGATCATCACTGTCCTTAGACCCTCCTGGATTGGTAAGGAATGTCTCAAAAAAGATAATAAGTGGGAATAAAGTGAGAAACTCGGCCTGGGTAGAACCAGAGCCAAGCAGATGCAAAACAGTACCTATGTGAATTACCTAGTGGATCTCTTAGTTCCGGTTAATCAGAGCAGGTGGAGACGCTCCCAATCCCAATGTTATGACAGCAAGTAGCTTATTAAATTAGAAACTTCACGCTTCATCACATTTAAATCCCAAGGGAGGATAAATAAACCAATCAGACAACACAATTATGATTAATCACTAGAGAAAATATGCCCAGGCAAACTCTAAACTTGTGACCTGTGTTTCCATGAATCCCCCTTTCAATTAGTCTCAGGGGAAACAGCGTCTGGAGGAGTGACTCCGGGTCAGGATGTCAACGCACAGACAACCAGACAGAGAGGAAATTATAGTCTCCACAGAGATCAATGCATCTCACTATCGACGGATCACTTAGAGCACGCAAGTCCCATAATGATCTGTTTGCGTTGTAATTGAGTCTCCGAGCCTTTGGTTAAACAGCCAAATTAATTCATATAGCACTTTTCTACTTTTCAAGGGTTTATTTGTATTGCCATTTAAATTAACGGGAAGTAACAAACTAAGAATTTGCTTTGGGCTATGGCGGAGTTATAAAAAGGTAAAAGATTGATATGAACGCATGCATAAAAACTCTTAATACATTTTTTATATATTAAATACACAGGTTATTGATAAGTGACCAGAAGTATGAGATGAGATTGGCCGAAGTATATAGTGACATTGGTGTAAAGTGAGTACTTCACACCAAGGAACCCTTCATTCATTCATTCAAACACACACACACCACTGTACGCAGACACTGGGGCCATGTGGGTGAAGTGTCTTGCCTGAGGATACACGGCAGCGATCCCCAATAGGAGCTGGTTACACACCTGCCAACCTGTGGGTCAGTCCATCTGACCACTTAACCAACGTGAGCGAGCTACTGCCACCACTAACGACACTTGATTCAAAATAGGAAATTTAGTTTGTCTGAAAAATTATTTAACTACACGCCCGAGACTCCACACTCATTCTAATCTAGACAATGTGGGTAAAGCTTGGCACTTTACAGCCGCCCCACTGTAGCACCTGGTGTTCCCGGAGGTCTCCCATCACAGTATTAACCAGGCTCTGCCCTACTTAGCTGCAGAGGTCTGCAGGATCTGGCTTTCACCTGCAGGCCACATGCAGCTACAATAATAACCTTCATTCAATTATTTGAAGTAATGTGACTAGACTTAAATGACTCATTAACAACAGGACTCCCAGAAACCTGAAACTAGAAGAACACTCACGAGGAGTCGTTCTGACGGCTCTCATTCAAATAGAATAGGAATTATAAAAAATGCAATAAGAGTAATCAATATGCAAGGTTTTTATCTTTAGTCACCATCACTAAGTGCTAAACAGGTCAATATAATTGGAATACAGCAAAAAACAGTGTTGAAAGGCTACTGCAGACAAGTAAACAGTGTGTTGCTATGGCAACCAACACTTGCCAAGCTGAACCAAAACCAGTCCAGGACCAGTACCAGGGAGAAAAAGGGATTTCACTGCCACAGAATGTTTGTTGCCAAGTAAACAAAAATGGCTACATTGAAATCCAAAAAAGGTCACAAAATTATGAAGATGGAAAATGTACACCAGTGGAGAAATTATGCTTCTAAAACTAAAAACTATCAAATTGACTGCTCTAGGTAAGGTCACACCTAGAGCAGTGTATATATATTTACTGTGATGTTGCTAAAAGAGTTTTATATATTAATACAGTAATAAAAAATATATACCGAAAGGGGTGTGTTTTTATATTAAGATTAAGATTTGAGATTAAGATTTGCTTTATTTATCTCACATAGGAGAAATTTACAAAAAAGAGTCTCCTTCGAGCCGGATAATTATCTAATATATATATATATATATATATATATGTGTGTGTGCAGACAAACTATATATTAGAAGTGTTTCTATAGTTCCGAGTACAGAGGGGGCTGAAATAACTTAATGAAATAAGTGCGCATTTCAACAATGGTGAACTTTCAAATGAAACTAAAAACTGTCATGGACTAAACTACAAACAAACCAGTTGCCATGTCATTGCAGTAGGTGTGACCTTACCCTGCTGGCTGCTTGGCCACACAAATCTACACATACACCACCACAGATTTCTTTCCTCTTCAAAACCTGCTCCACCACTCTGCCAATTTAGAGGAGTGTGGACTGTTAGACTGGTTTAGTTACACAGTTTGGAAAAATGTAGCAATGGAAACTGAATGACTACACCTATAAATATTACTATCCTCCAAAATGTATGCAGAGTTGGCGTGTCAGCTGCTTGCCATGGCACACACAAGCGTTCATGGCTTATTAAACAGATCGTTCTGGATAAAAGGTGGCTTTACTTTGCCCAGAGTACAGCCTGTAAAATGCCCCCACAACAAATGTGAATAATGTTGATGATTGCATTAACTAGTGACAATGAGCCTCTTGAACATCCACACCATAGAGGCAAAATACTGTGGAGTTCCCAGTACACAGCTGCAGCAATGTGGACAATACAAAAAACAGAAGTGCCCTGGGTAGAGATATAGGGGAAATATAGAGAGACAGATATTGAATTGGACAAGTGCATGCCATTACGCCTAAAAAAAATACAACATAACACTGACAACTAGTGACATATGCAGAATAAATTGTTATAAATTGTAGTCAGGGTGCCATTAGAAAGTCAATGAGCAATTCTTAGGGGAGGAAAAAATACCTCAATTTCTTTGCATCCATAAATAGAGCAGGCTATATTGGGGGTTCCTCGTCTCCTCGTACAGGCTCGTACAAGCAAGCACAGTGGCAAATTTAATTCAAGCTAAAAGATTGATTTGAGCCTGCCATTTCTGACATATTTGGAGAGCAGGTGTCAAGTGAAGCATTCATTCATTCATACTCACCCCATTGCAGCGAACTTGAGGAACAACTCTGCTGAAAAGAAGAGTCCTGCTATTGAGGAAATTGGACAAATGTCACTAAGCAAAGTCCAGAGTAATTAGCTAGCTCTCCAAGGAGTTCATTCCCTTCGTCTTCTTAGCGTGTTCACTCCAGATCTTTCTCCCGCAGACAGATACGTGCGTAATACAAGAGTCCACTTCGTAAACTCCGACCGCTTGTTACGCGCTGTAAGTTTGAGCTCTGGCAAAAGGCAAACTGTGGGAGATATTCCTCAAACAATCGGCGAGTAATCGAGTTGACATGTGCCTGTCAGAGCGGCAGGCAGAGTTTGCTCGATCCTTCGCGAGGGGAATGCGCGCAGTGAATGGAGACAGCAGCGACACGGCGCGGCTTCCACCTGCTCCCGCTCCGCTCTGGACCACGGGCCGCCCACTCTGGCTGTGTGGGCTGCGGTCGTGGATCTATCAGGCTGCGGTGTGCTGGCGTGTTCCCTCCATAAAAGAAACACTCACTCAGTTCATATAATCAGTGTATCATTTGTGGAATTCTGTTTTCGATACATAGAAATTGGCTGGGAAATAAATGGTCTTTTTTTTTTTACACCAAGGGTTGAAATAACAGATGGGTGTAACCATGGCGACGGGGATCCACCACTGTCAAACCACCTTTAAAGAAGACTTAATAATAATATGCACTATTTGCGGCCATTAAAGCTATTATTAGATATTTTACTTTGTTGTAGAACGTGAAATATTATCTTTTGTTTTAGGACAGTACTTTCTCAGCTTATGCACATTTTTCACTTCCTAACATTGTAGCTTTGTATGTATCCTCATGTAATATATTTTATATCATATATAATTTTTTTAATAATCCTTTTTTTTTTGAGTAGTTTTCTACGTTTTTTGAGGGCTTCATTATTATTATTATTTTTAATGTAATGTTTGGCAATAAACATTCTATGGCAGTTAAGTAAGGCCTGTCCTGGATTCTGAGATATATCAAAAGTATAACTTCCAGAGGTGAAGTTATACTTTTGTTCTAGAAACTCCGGATTTCTTGTGGATGGATCTAAAAACAACTCCAGATCTGTAATCTGTTTCTTTATCTGTTTAGACAAAGAAACATGAAAAATGTCTCCTCCCAGATAACCTGTTGGCTTATACTTTACAAAATGAAACATGTTAGTTTTGCGAGAAGTCTAGAACACTGATCATTCCCCCGAAATAGGTCAACATTTTACTATAATAAAAACTGTTTAAGCCCCGTTTCTATCAGTTCTACTTGGCCCATATACTACAGTGGTTCCCAAACTTTTTACACCAAGTACCACCAAGTATTCATCAAAAACAAGGCAGAGGTTTCATAAAGAAGTATAATTAATATTGTCAGCCATTTTAATATTTTACAAAGTTTCAACAGTAAATATAAGATAATATGTACTTTATTAATCTCACACAGGAGAAATTTGTATACATATATATATAAAAAACAAAACTAAGTGCAGTAGAATACCATAGAGGAGAGGAGAGGAAAGAAGTAGGGTTAGGGTTAGGGTTTTAGGCTAGGGTACAGAGGGACAGAATGTGTGAATATAACATGCATCTATAACAATAACTGGCTTATAGCTGTCCCACCCACGGGCACAGGGGGCGCCCTGCAGACTAAATTCACGTGGGCTGTCCAGAAAAAAGTCCCAATCTCGGAACCATAAAATCAATCAACTTGTTTCCGGGGGAGCATTTCCGTAGACGCACTAGCAGACAGCTCTTGGCTCTTGATTTGTTTAGTGTTTTGCGTATGAGATCTTGAATCAATCGATTGCACAGATTTCAGGTAAGATGTCGTAGATCTTTGTTATTTGTTGCTTTATCGTATTACATTGTTTTATCTTTTTGATTTAGCATCATGTGAGCAGTTTCCCGGGTTACCGAAGCTACATCTCATGAGAGCTGCCCATTCATTCACTAGTCTAGAGTCTATTATCTGTCATATAACAATCTACGTGTTGTTACAGTTATGGCTGAGGTCGCAGAGAAGGCAGAGGCCCCCGAGGAGACTGAGGATTACGAGAAGCTGTTCGCCCATCGCTTTACTTCAGAGGACCGTGAATACCAGGAGTACCTGAAGCGTCCGCCTGACCCGCCTCCGATTGTGGAGAACTGGAGGGCCTCTCGGAACCACAGAGGCAGAGACAGGTGCGCTCCTCAAATATTTATGTGTGAACAGCTTTGGAGCACGACCACAGTCTATGGGGACAATGGCTTCTACCTGCGGCCAAGGGAAACGATCCGTTTACCTGCACTCCCACCTTGCATTTATAGATTAGACAAGCATGTATTGGTACAGCACAGTTCATACAGAAGAGAACTCAAAGGGATTGACACAACTCGATCGAAATAATCACACATTAAAGGCATTAACATCATAAATGATTACAGTACATTGGAGAAGATGCAATCCTTCAGTTCTTTGTACAACTGAACAGAACTGTTTTAATTTGGATTTGACCATTGTCAGAGTAGAAGCCTCTTTTTAGTCTTGACTCTGTGCACCAGCAGGAGGCCAGTCCCTGTGCTGCTCAGTGTCTGAGCTTATTCGTATGGCACTAAAATGTATGTCTTTTGGTGCAAAGCCATCGAGAGCTGCTTTAAAGTCTATTCTGAGCCACAGGAAGCCAGTGCAGAGACCTGAGAACTGGACTAACGTGATCGTACTTCATGGTTCTTGTCAGGACTCGAGCTGTAGTTTTGAATAAAATACTGCTATTATACAGCTCGTTTGGAGAGCCCAGTGAGCAGGCCATTACAGTAGTCTTACTTACTTTAGACAAATGCCTGGAAAATAATCTGCTTGTCTTCTTTGGACTCTTCATATTTAATTCTGGCAATCTTACTTACTTTATTGCCTCCATTACGCAGACCGTAATTTTCACAAGTTTCGAGTGGATGACACAACATGGCCATTGTCTCAAAATGCTGCATAATACATGGCTTAATATGTAATATGTTGAACAGATCTGACCACAACATGCAGTTTTCATCTTGTTCGAAAAAAAAATATACTTTTAAGAGGGAGTGAGGGTGGTCATTCTGTTTGTGAGCCTTAACCCGATGGTCAAGATGGGATTCTTAGATATCCATCCATCCATCCATCCATCCATCCATCCATTTTCTGCCCTTTAATCCATTTCTGGGTCAGGGGGGTGGCAGTCAGAGATGCCACCCAAGTCTCAGCACCAGCTCCTCACTGACCCTCTGCAGGTGGTGAGTCCACAGGAGGACGGCTGCTCTCTGAGTGTGAGCATAGCCTTGATCTTTCAGTGGGGGCTTTTGGGCAAAGTGGGGTTAAGTGTCTTGCCCAAGGACACAACGACAGCAGTGATCAGTGGGAGTCGATAGAGAAGGTGCAGAGGTGGGGATTCTTAGATAATTATTTATAAATTCTAATCGGCCAATTTTTGGATCAACTCAAACGAGCAACATGTAGTTTGATATAAAAAGTTTGCCATAAGTTATTCTTGAATAATAAAGCTTCTCACCTTTTTGTATTACATCAACAAAAAATTTAAAATCACAGAAATGGCAGACTATGACATAAGAAGCAGTGAAGTAGTTTCTTGTTGTTGTGACTTGTTCCATTGATGACAAACTTAAATGAACTTGGTTTGTGGTCTGCTGGAGCAGCAGCATCACAGAGAGGGACAGGAAGAAGCTGGACAAGGTCATCAGGAAGTCCAGCTCAGTCCTGGGCCGCTCCCTGGACACAGTGCAGCAGGTGGGGGACAGGAGGGTCCTGGACAAACTATCATCTATGCTGGACCATGACTGCACCCCCTGCAGGACACTCTCTCTGCTCTGGAGAGCAGCTTCAGTGACAGACTAATTCACCCTCGCTGTGTGAAGGAGAGGTTCTGTAGGTCTTTCCTTCCTGCTGCTGTCAGACTGTACAATAAGAACTGCTGAGTCTGCAAATGTCATCCATCTGTAAATACTAAATCATGTGCAATACTTTAACTTCAGAATGTCACTGAACAATGTCACTTTACTTATCTACTTCTTATCCTGCACTATATGTACAGTATATAACTCTGCACTACTACACATTTATATATTTTATTTTGAAAGACTGGTATCGAATAGCTACTACTTTTTTGTATATTTTGTGTGCTCCCTGTGTGCTCTTACTACTGTCCTGTCTGTGCGCTGCAACATCAAAATTTCCCCACTGTGGGACAAATAAAGGAACTCTTATTTTTTAGATACCAGGACAGACGGGGGCGTGGAGGTCACGGCTGGGGCGGAGGTGGCAGAGATTACGGAGGCTGGAGGGGGGAGCAGCGGCAGCAGCAGTGGCACGATCGCGACAGAGACCGGTCCCACAGCAGAGACCCCCACAGAAGCGGAGAAAGGTCCTGGGACAGAGACCGTCCGAGAGCCTATCAACCCCACCCTCCAGGCTCCAGTCACGGGTACAGCCAGGGCCGCTACTAACATCTCAGGTTTTGTCAGTATTTATGAGGACTTAAAAGTTTAAATAGAAATGGCAATGTGCAACGGATGAACGCGTATTGTTTCATAGCAACAGTGTTAATAATGAGGACCTTGCAAAAACAGCTATTTACTGTGGGTTTGCAATGTAGAATGTAGACTGCAACCAAGGCATTCAATTAATGTTGTTGTTGTATAGCCTTACATCACGCCAGTCGTCTCGTGGGACTACGCTTGGTTGATTTACCAACAACAGATCAGAGAATCAGTTTGAACACAGGAAATGCAATAATAGCAAAAGTATAGGAGCCATTTGTACATAGGGAGCGGGATGACAAATGTCCATACATGTTGATAAATGTCTTTTTAAATGTCCCGGATCATCACTGTCAAAAAATAAATAAGTGAGGAAACTCGAGGAGGCCCACATTGACAGAGGGAACCGCACCCACGGTTGTATGGGATTACTACAAGGAACCAAACCTGGAGCAAAAATATCCACAATGTATGAAGTCTTGAAAATGAACTGTATTCTCCGTCAGTGTGAACAGATGTCAGACAGGTCAGACAGAAGCAACTTTTCAATACAGACAATATGAAATGCATTTTAATATTACAGATGTAATCAAACCCTCAACTCCTCACACTTCCAACGCTAACAAATGTCATTCTTAATGCAGTAATTATGTTTTCCATGTGGTCTTTCAGGTCTGACATGCAGAAGTTCTAGGGTTAAAGCGTTTTCTTTATTAAGATTTATGAAACTCAGAGCCATCATTTTGACTGCTCCTATTCAAACCAATGAAATGCTGAGAAATTCCCCCAAAATTGTTTTACTTTTCACCCAGTTTAGTTAAAAGTAATGTAAGAAGTGGTTGTTTTTTACCTTTTTATAAAAGATGACATTGAAATAATAAACTACAGATGCTGCTGTGGACTGCTCTGGGAGTTCTAGTGTTAAACGAAATGTTGCAGAATGTAGCAACTTTGATATAGACTAATATTTTTCTGGATGAGGTTTAAAATCACTTACACGACACAACTGCACTGAAAATGAATCGCTTGGGATTTGAGTCTTAACATATTTAGTTTTCGGGGAAACTTGTCTCCGACTCTGACATCTACTTCAGTTGTATCTTTCTGGTTTTCTGTTTGTTTTTGGGTTTGTATTTTTCAGCAAGGTTTGTGACCTCATGAAATTGCAAAACTGTGTTGCAAATGTTCACACGCAAATTTAATGTAACAGAAGATGATAATATTTTTCTGTAAAGGTTCAGTAATTAATTAAAATCTCAATAAACACATATTTTCTTACATATCTTCCTTCCTTTGTATAGTATTGTTTTCATTTACGACATATTGCTCCACTCTTTGTCTTCTGTTTTCCTCTTTGTCTTTTCATCGGGTCACATTGTTCATTTATGTTGGCACATATTTTAAATATCCAAAACGGAAGCTACAACAAATGCTTCTTATCAAAATCAAGACATTTAAGCCCTCAAAAGTCTAAACTTAACATAATGGGTATTTAAAGTGGTAATCTGGTATATTGGAATAAATGTTAAATACTGGATTTCATTTACTGGATGCTCATTAGTTTAACAATAATAATGCATGACTATTAAAATAGGCCCCACAGACCACCACCAACCATTCACGCACACACTGAGTCATTCTAGGCAATGTGGGTGAAGTGTCTTGCCTAAGGACACGACAGCAGCTCAGCAATTTACAGGCGCAGCGTCCTACTCTGGTATCTGTTCCCAGAGGTCTTCCATTATGGTACCAACCAGACCCTACCCTACTTAGCAGCTGAGATGTGACCTGATCAGGCTTTCACTCTTTCTGTGGTTGAAGATTTGAAACTGATTAACAACAAACCACAAACGGAAACAGCCAACATCAGTGGGAGTAGGTGGAGAAGGTCTCATCATGGGCTTGAACCCATGACCAATGCTCTACCAACTGAGCCACTGTCAACCAACACATACATCACTCACTCTAGATTCATACCTATTTAGTGCTAGGGGAAACCGGACGCACCCAGGGAGAAAATACAAACTCCGCTCAGAAAGGAGCTGTTCCAACCGGTACTCAAACCCTAGACCTTCAAGCTGAGGATTTAAAGACTTCCAGAGTTTTGCCGTCTGGACTAGAGGTGACCAGGGGACCAGGAGCGGTGTGTTAGAAAGTTTTACTTCTCCACCCATGCAGAAAACTGTACAAAAATCTTCTTTACTGTTAATTTACAGTCGACATGCTCCACATACCCAGTCTTGTTGTGAATCCATAGTTCTCTAAATAGCTGCAAAACTCCTGTATACTTGCTCTGGCCTTTCTCGTTTGCACTGATTACGACTCTGATGTCACACTGTTTCCTCCAGTCTCTGCTCCTCATCATCGCAGTGGCTCAGGCCCAAATCAACTGTTCACCAAGTCTCAGCCAAATGTCCAGAAATAGCAACAACTCCACGGAAACAAAGCCAGAATCAGCGAGGGTTAGTGTCACAGTCGGACCCTCAGGCTGTAAGGCAGTCTGTAATCTATTCATGCAATCAGATATGCATATTACTGTTTAAAGCAAGACCCTGCAGGCATTTTATATTTTGTTTAATAACACCATCCATCCACTCACTCATTACATACATACTTATTGTACATGTGGTAGGGGAAACCGGAGCACACAGAGGAAACCTACACAGACATGTATGCAAAATGAAAACTCCACTCAGAAAGGCCCTGTTCTTGGGCAGTTCCTGGGATTCAAACCCAGGACCTTCTTGCTGAGAAGCGAGAGTGCTATCTACTCAGCCACCGTGCCGCCCAGGGTGAGGAGCTCAGTCACATGGACAGAGCTTGGAGTAGAGCTGCTGCTCCTCCATATTGAGGAGAGTTTCTGCAGGGAACGCCTCCCAATGGTTCCTGGCATGTCCCACCGGGAGGAGACCAGGGGATGCTTTTCATCTCACTTGGAAATGCCTCAGGATCCTGAATGAGCTGGACCTTTTTATATGAGCTGTGGCCAGTGAAGCGAGGAGCAATAATCAATAACATAAAGATCAACCATGAATAATTACAGGCTGACCAGGCGTCCTCTATACCACGAGTCTGATCCGTTTCCCATAGTTTTTCAGGCCAATAGCAGCACGTTTTTGGTCAATGCCCTGGATATTTAAGAGCTCTATATTGGAAAAACACAAACAGCTGAATGATTTTGCTTCAGCCCTGTCCTCTCAGATGTCTGAAATACACTGAGCCCTGCGTGGCTTTTTGACTTGTGTTATTGGATGAACCAGTTGAAGGATTACGCATAGGCTTTGGCAGATGTGCAGTTATAGCCGGGCAGACAATGCACACAACAAAAATAGTCTTTAGAAGATAATAATGCTGGTGTAAATTGAATGGCATCGTTTTTCTCATACTACACAACCCATAATATGAGCAATGTATGGCTTAAAGATAATGTTGTTGTTTTGAATTTGAAAGCCCATTTTATTGGAGAAAGCATTTGATTATTGCAAACTGCATCAGAACCGGATTGCAGCTATCTTATTCCTGTATAAACATTTGAAATTAATCTAATAAAACGGGGGGAAAGAGGAGGAAAAAATGATCTGATGAAGGTTATAATGGCAGATATTTCGCAAAAAATATATAAATTTCACTTTATTTTTGTATAGCCCTAACCCACAACTGCAGTCATCTCGGAGGACTCGGTGTTGAAAAACATCATGAAATCCAATGCAACAGATCATAGTGATTATTTTCAGTTTGGGAATTATTTTCAAATTAGAAAAAAATACATTTTTGGATGAATGTTGAGGCCATTTTGAATCAGGGCATGGTTTTCAAAGATTTACAAAGAAACTTGCCTTGGCACTTCAGACCCAAAGTGTTGGTGATTCATAATCGCTGCCCACTTACAGACCAGCCTCCCACCATCAGTAAATACCACTGCCCGCCATACGCATTTGAGTTTACATTTAAATTAAAGCTCAGAGAGTGAGTGGGAGAATGCGTTGATGCAAACTCTGTTTTTAAAAGCATTGGGTGCATGTCAGGCCCATATTTTACATTATAGAATTGAACTTTTCTGCATTAGGGATAATAGCGGTTTCCAACTCAAATTACCCAAAGATTGTTGATGGCAACCTGTATCACTGCGACATAAGAGATCCTTTATTTGTCCCACCCAGGGGAAATTTCAGTGTTGCATCACAATTTACAGAACAATAGCAATGAAGAGCACACAACACAAGATAAGTATATATTAAGTAAACACTATACTCAGTGCGATCCATCAGTGCGGATGGAGCACATGGTCTGTCTGCCGCTGGGGTCCACTGTCCCAGGCCAAACCTCAGCCTCAGCCTCACCCCCTGCCCCTGCCCCTGCTCCCCCGCACAGATGTAGGTCACAGAGCGCTGTAGGGGCATTGTGGGCTCTCAGCTGCAGACAGTAGGAGCGGTGGAGCGGTGAGTGTGCGTGGCGCATGAGTTCACCGTCAAGGACATGTCCCGGGGCGGTCTGTCACATCACATCGGCTCCAGCGCGACACAAAAAGCCCTGACAGATCTGTGCTCATGAGCTGGAGAGTGTATGCAAGCAATGAATAAATCAACTCTGTTCTGATGATGGGGCCGTGTATGAAGGAGGCCACAATTCAATGGGAATATTCATGTGAACTATAACTGACTCGGACTCATTGGAGCACAGGGACTGGCCTCCTGCTGTGACTCTGAGGAGCACAGGGACTGGCCTCCTGCTGGGACTCTGAGGAGCACAGGGACTGGCCTCCTGCTGTGACTCTGAGGAGCACAGGGACTGGCCTCCTGCTGGGACTCTGAGGAGCACAGGGACTGGCCTCCTGCTGTGACTCTGAGGAGCACAGGGACTGGCCTCCTGCTGGTGCCCATAGTCAGGACTAAACATGGAAAGGCAGCATTTCAGAATTATGCGGCTAAAATATGAAAGTCTTCCTGAAAATGTGAGACGGACCTCTACACCCTGACCATGTTTTAATCTAGGATGAAACCACAATTATTTAGCAATGCATAAACCCACTATGTATCTGTTTATAAACCCATTTTAAAAAGAGTTTTAAGTCCCATTATGCCGCATCGTTTGAATATAAAGTCGTTGTACATTCAAATATCTGTGTTACCTTTTTGGTAGGATTTTTAAGCATTTCAATGTTTTTTTATATTTACAAAGCACTTTGAATTGCCTTGTACACAAATAGTGCAATAAAAAATATGACGTACTGAACAAAAATAAAACAGCTCTACAAACTCTGAAAATTAGAATATCGTTCAAAAGTTTGTTTATATCTGTAACAATAAATGAGATAGGTTCTTTAGATGCAAAATGGCATAAGTCAAGCTTTTGTTTGTATGACCATATATAGGCTTGTTTTACTGCCGTGCTTTTGATTGATTATTTACTGTATGTTATTTTGAATTATTGGTGAATTCTTTATATGCACTGTTTTAGTCACATGTTTAGACATCTTATGAATATATTTCTATATATCCCTTTCTATATATTTTAAGGTAGTATTTCACATTCTTAAACACATGCTGACAGAATAATCTCATTGTAATGTTTAAAGGGGGAAAATAATGATGCAGTGAGTCGTTAGCTCTAAGTTCACAGTGATGTAACTGAGGCTGTAAAAGTGACATCACTGTGCTCGAGGAGTTTTCTGCTTTTTAAGACAAAAAATATAAAATATATATATAATAATATAAAATTTCTTCCTTCCTTCATATTTGTTTCACACCACTGTTATGCACACATCTGTAATATGGGAAACGGGAAATACATTTCCAGGTCAATTGTGCCCATCGTTCCCAGCTGCTTCTGCCTGATGCGCATCACACCAGTACATCTCCACGCTCATTAAAACCAGAAACTGCCAAGAAGCCTGACATCAACAACAAAAGTATTTCCATTTTACCTTTGATAATAACTGATAATAGACGTCTACTGCGTGTAATCAATTCCTTGTTCGAGTGAATCTCCATGATGTAGAAATGTGATGTCTTTTCCAATGCCACTGAAATATAATTGAATTGAAGATTTTTGTCAGATCAGGAGTAGAGGCTGTTTGTATTTGTTTTATAATTTAAGTGGCCACAAGGTTTTTCAAAATATACTGAATGTGTGAAGTCATGGTCCTGAATTAACCAACAATGCTCCTAAGTAGTTGGCCTGTGAGATACTGTATAAAGGGGACAGAGGGGCAGAGGCAAAGAATCAACGATGCAAGGAATATCAGACTGGAGACTTGGCTGAAGGAGGTCTTTAATGGAGAAAGGTTCCTGCAGCTACCACGGCTGATAAGTGGCATCTGCTTCTGTGTGTGTGGTGTCTGAAATGACAGGTAGACAACAAGTGGCAGTTCAAAAATGGTGGTGATAGTGGCTCTGTTGGAAGAGCAATGATCTTCGAGACTATTGATTGTGGGTTTGAGCCCCCTCCACAAGACCTACTCTATTGATTTGGCTTTGGTCTGTCCTTGGGCAAGACACTTAATCTAAAATGGTAGGTAGATGTTTTCTAAAAAGATACGGACAACAATCGTTGGTCTGATTTGTTCACACTACTTTACTTTTAGATAATTTCTATTCTATGGAGAACAGATGAAGTGATGTCACCTCCTAGATTGACAGGCAAGTTCATTGGTTTAGCTAGAAGGCTTCAACCATTTTACTGTTATTATGCTGAGAGGAAGAAGTGTGTGTCAAAATTGTGCATTCAATTGAAACATGAAATGCATTTGAATTCATTAAAGTTGCAAAAGGTCGAATATGTTAAAATGTCAAACAGCATTTCAAAGTTTCTTAAACTGTTCATTGTCCCCTTGAAGACTTGTCTCTAAAGAGTACATACATATGCATGGTCTGAAATTTGAATGTTGCACGTCAAGTATATTTGGAGATCACAAACTACATGATAGAGATAGTACACACCAGTCCTGGGAACGCCGGACCTGGATTAGCAGAGAACAATGGATGAGTGGTTTTAGTAAATAATTTAGATAAGACAAAAATACAATGTAACCTTTATTAAATGTTGATTGACAGGACATAATTTCAGAATGTTTTTAGACCCAGAGGTCACCTGGCCCTCACTGAGACTTGTGGTCTGTGTCTCTAAACCCATCTCACTGGAACAGATTCAATGGTGTTGTTTAAAAGTGAATACAAGATTATTCCATTATACTTGAATTTGGTGTTCTCAACGTCTGTTTGTCCAGAAGTCACCTGGTCTGGACTCTGTGGTGTCTGTGTAATCAGAGGTCAGGTGGTGACTGTGGTCATTGCTGGTCACTGCGAGGTCTATGGGTGGTCTGCAAACTCTTCCCCAGGAGAACCCCGGATCCACAAATCCCAGTCGGCAGTGAGAACAACAAATGTCAGCCTCCTCTTGACCATCTCTCACTGTCCACATTCAGAAGATCCACCTCACTGAAAGAAAATCAGACTGTAGTGACATCCAGTGGTTTGTCACAAAACTACAATGACACAGAAACAAGTTTCTATAATTTCATTACATGATGAGCTCTAAGGTGGATTTTGAGAACCTAGGTTGAAACGCAGAGTCATACAGAGTAAAAGTACAGGTTAGAGCCATTGTACAATTTCTAATGCCCATTTGACTGAGGAATGGAAAAGACAAGGGGATCTAATATTTGTAATTATCATTCCCTTATCTTGTGTGCTCCTCATTCCACTGTTCAGTATCTCGTGATGCAACTTTGAAATTTCCCCACTGTGGGACAAATAAAGGTTCTCTTAATCTTTATTTCTGTCAATTTGCACATTGAAAAAAAATAATGTGCACATTATAAAAGAACATAAACCACAGCACCTATGCATATGCGCAAGGAAATGAATAACAAATGTGGGGCTTGGAAAAAAGTTACATTTTAGAGAACACCAGACCATCTAAATTGATCATTTACACTAACTCTATTCTGCTAAAACATTGTAGTTAATCTTAGTTTCAGAAAATAATCTGAAAACATCTGCTAACACCAAACTAAATGTGCACTTTGAAATGATGGGTACACACCTGCTGTAATTGCACACCTAGTCAAACATAATCTGTATATGTTTTTCAGTCATTAAAGCGTGTGCACCTAACTTTGAAACTACAGGAAATTTCTGTGTCGCAAAATCCACATAACTAGTTCCGATTTCTCGAAACAGTTTGGTTCTATCACTGGTTTTGACAAGCATGTATTTTTGGCTTTGGTTACATTTCTTAAACAGACAAGTGTAAAAAAGAGGGCCTAGCTACTCCAGCTTTGACAAAGTGTTAAAGAAGAGGAAAAGGGAATAATTACATTTTCTTGGGTGTTAAAACACTAAACTAAATGATTAAAATGAATAAGTGCCTTAAACTTGGTCAACAACAGCAGTCATCGCATATTATTCATTTATTTTCAATGTTGTCATAAAGCGCTTATAAATTACAGCATGTACCAAAGGTAATGTTCAACACACAGATATGTAGAATAACAACAATGTCAAACAATCAGTGCACAGTGAAGTATACATCAACAAAAACGGCATTGGTCGACATAAACATCACAGTTAAGCCCAAAGTTACTCATATTTACGACCAGCGCAAAAGACTGGATGACAAACACTAGTCATGGAAGCGACAAGGTAATTAAACTAGTCATTTTAAGTAATTTGTAAACATCAAAAGATTCATTTGTTCATTCTCTGTCACTACATATTATGGTTTTTAAAAACTCTGCTTAAGTGTGCATCCAACTTTACTCTTTTTAATGCACTGTGAAAACTTATAATAATTTTAATCTTCTTTTTAAAGCACTTTTGAGTTGCCTTGTGTACATCTTTACTTTACAAATAAACTTTCCTTGCCAGTATTAAACAGCCACCAGAGTGAATCCGTAAAAGGGAGCAATTTAGAGTCACATCCATATCTTTGTTTGGTAAGAAAGTATGCATAAGTTTGGTCTTAACTGTAATAGAAGACTAAGTGAGAGTTCTGTTTGTACATATGATCTTATGTGCAAGCTTCAATTCATCTACCAATATCCGTCTGAACAGGAACACAGCACATACAGTCTAAAGTTCATGGAAGTATTATTATTGTTTTTATTTGCGAGGCACTAAAAAATTCCAGCAGTCCACGTTTCTCCATGCGTATCCTCTGAGGTCTTCCCGGTTCAGTCGATGTAGTGAATCTTTGCATTGGGGGATTTTTGCCTTTTTAAGAGTAGTAAATGATCTCTGGGATCTGTCCGTCCTCCACTGAGGTACCGTTGTTATTTCCGGGAGAACTGAAGAAGACAAATGTGGTCTTGGTCCCGGTGACAGACTCCTGAGTGACTTTTTTCAAACCTTTGGTGCCGTAGTGAGAGTCTGGGCCCTAAACACAGAAAACACATTCAGATTAGGGATGCACAGGAAAGAGTAAATGCCCAGTGGGCAGTAAAAACATTATAGAAAGTAATATAATAACACACACAGTATACAGGAAACAATATTTTAAGATTAAGATTTTTTTATTTTCCTCATAGTGGGGACATTTCAGTGTTGCATCACCAGTTACAAAACAGTTGGAATGAGGAGCACACAGCAAGATAAGTGAATAACAACTCAAAAAAATAAAATATCTAACTTTAGCATAATAAAGAAGCAAGAACAAAACACTGAAAAATTCTAGTGCAAGAATTAAGTAGTTGTATGTACACATCTGTGCATGTTAGCAGCATGATGAGGGTATGGGCTAAAGTGGCTCGGTAAAGTGACATTGGACCATGGATTTATAATAATAACTGGATAATGTATTACTAGCTTATAGTTGTCCCACCCATGGGCACAGGGGGCGCCCATGGTAATGCAAACTAAATGAGCTGCTCAGAAAAAAGTCCCATAGAACTCAATGTAAACTAAAACAGCTTGACCTCAGCTGACAAAGAACCTACAGCTCTCAGAAAGGTTGTATTTTGTGGGGATTTTGGTGTCCCTTGTCAAGTTGAACTTTGTTTCCTCTTGAATCCTTTGGCTTTCTTTAAATCCACTCTTTAATGCAACAAACTCTGCTCGTTTCCTTCATGCTCTGGCTCCGCTCTACCACTGCTCTGATCAGGAGCTCTGATTGGTCAGTGCACTGCCAAGCCCCTCTGTGCACGTGCACGAAAGCCACACGCGCGTATTTCCGCAATGCATCATGGGAGCTCGTCCACTGTGTAGAACCGGGAGGACCAGACGATGCCCAAATATGCGCGAGTTCCGCTAATCTCTCGGTCCCCATGGCTGTCCCATGCGCTACTGAGCACAAGCCATTTATGTGAACAGGACACCATCTTGGATCATCGGGGCTTGTAGTGGAAGCACATGGTTCCACATTGAACATTCTGACATTATTCAAATCATTATTATACAGATGAGTAAAGTGACGGTCGACACATGGACATCTGATCTCACACTAGTGCGATCAGGTTGGCAGTGTTCATGAGTCCTCATTGTTGTACAGTCTGACAGCAGCAAAAAGGAAAGACCTGTGGAAACCTCTCCTTCACACGGATAGGGTGGATCGGTCTGTCTCTGAAACTGCTGTACAGAGCAGACAATATCCTGCAGGGGGGTGACCCTCGTGTCTCCCACCTGCTGCACTCTGCCAAGGGAACAGACCAGGACAGAGCTGGACTTCCTGTTGACCTTGTCCACCTTGTTCTGTCCCTTTCTGTGATGCTGTGCGTATCGTGCGCCGCACCATGGGCTGCCTGTAGACAAATGATTTGCTCTACCTCGAGGGGGAGGGGGTCGATGATGCGTATGCATCTTTAGCATTGCTAAAGAATAAGTCCAGTGTTTTATCTCCTGTAGTAGCAGTATAAGTGGCAGTGTGGAGGCCGGGGACGCACGCTTGAAGTCTCCAGCTATTCTGAATAAGGCTTGAGGAGCTGTGTCTGGAGGTCACTCACTGTGAAGAGCAGAGCTTTGTATGCACTGTCTGCTTTGGCAGATGGAGGGACGTAGACAGCTATCAGAATAACGTGTCCAAACACCTGCGGCAGGTAGAATGGACACACACCAATAGCATGTGGTTCAATGTCTTTCTCACATACCGGCTTTTTAACATTCGCCCTTGTTCCCTTTATCCCACATAGAATCTTCTGGATTTTCTCCAGAAGCTGCCTCCACAGGTATAGTGCTTTTGTCCAATGGGATCTCCAAGCTCCACAGTGCGAGCAGCTGGACCTGAGAGTATACTATCTCAGCTCTCCAGGTACAAATTCACATTTTAAGGATAATAAAAACCAGACGGTGGACAAATAAGGGTGTCTCACTTTCATGAATCGGAAGCACTTCTCCCAGCTGTAGTTGCAACATTGGTTTTAGAGAAATGAAAATAAATTGGTAAAAACTAAGAAAAGTGGGAAAGAGGGAGATAACAATGCAACTTGCAGTCGGTAAGTATCTGGAAAGTAACAGATGCATGGCGATGTCCTGCATCTCAGCGACTGATATCTATCTTCTGGAGGGAAGAAGGTGGGACATGGCCTTTCCACGGTGGCCAGAAAAGTCATTGGTAATTAAAAGAACTCACTTTAAGAGTCTGGATTCATCAAGAACAGCCAGCTAACAACTCACTGTGCTCCATGAAGCAGAGCGAACCACTGTATTATGTGTATATTGTGATGTCACGCACCTTGAGAGTGGCACATGCCGTGTAGCTCACGTTGGGTAGAATCTCTACCGGCTCCTTGAACATGACCCTGAAGGTGGTGGCCGTCCCGTCACAGCTGAAGCCTGTGTCGTTCTGACCCAGAGTGACCCGCTTGTCACTCTCCATGATCTGCAGCAAGAAATGAAAGTTTATTATTAGTTTGTTTGAGGATTTAAATATAAGCATCAGTATGTACTTCAAAAACTCTAAAAGGCAAGGCAAGTTTATTTGTATAGCACGATTCATACACAAGCCAATTCAAAGTTCTTAACAAAACAAGATGGAAACAATCACGAAAGGCATTAAAAGTTTGAAATGTGTTTGTTGTTCAAGAATGTGCACATGTTACAAAATAAATCTAAAATACATTTTCAAAATAGTTTTAGGACTACACCGATTATTGTATTTTATTTACATCAATTGACTTGATTACAATAATATAGATTATATTAACACACAATGTTTACTTGCTAATCTATTTTATGACACCAAGTCTTGGCTGCTTCTTTGCCATGTTTGTTTTCTTTATAGGGGTTTATATTTACTTGTGGCCTCAGAAAAACGGAATTATGATCATATCAAATTGTATACAACTTCCCCTCCCCATCTGGGAGCCTTCTCAGTCCTTGGGGGCGGAACCCTCTCTCAAAGTGGGCCTGAGGTTTCTAACTTTTTTAGAGGTTCCTTGCCGATGCAGGAGGGTCTAAGGACGGTGATGATCTGCAACTTTTAAGAAAATGTATGACCCACTCCCCACTGCAATGGCTCCTATTATTATTGAATGTTTTGTGTTCAAACGGTCTCATTCTCTGATCTGCTGATGAGGATTCAAAACAAGACAAATACTGTTGTGATTTATGCCTTTACACACATACAATGAATCAAATGTAACTTGTTAAAATGGTGCAACAACTTTTATAGCAGTTTACCTGTATGTTGACCTGATAATCTGTTGGCCCATGTATCGAACCATATAAACCAAAGCCGACTATGGATATTCTCCTATTTACATTAAACCTAGAGACAAGAAACAAAAAGACAGGATTAGGAGAATATCATTGCCAAAATGCATCTGAGAGGACCTGGAGCCCATGCATCTTGAGTATGTTTTGTTAAAACATCTAGCACAGTGATAATCAAACTGTCTAATCTAAGTACACCCTATATACAGTTTGCAATAAGAACACTACAATATTTGGACGTCTGTGCAGAATTCTTTTGCATCTAAATTAGGGCTAAAATGGGTCTTCACAGTAGTATTTAGGTGACAATTAGCAAATATTTTGACTCAAAGGGCTCAGGTACCACAGTGCCGAAAAAACACCAATCCACAAACAGTTTACAACAAACTATAGGAGCACAAGAAAATGCACCTAAGGTTTATAGAATTGAGAGATTAATTCTATAAACTAGGTGATGAATTTCCATGAGTTTCCATTAGCTCTACTATAGTCTTGATTGGGGCCGTTTCCACTGGCCCTGTTTAACCATTATTTCTAGCCAGCCGAACTGGTACTAAAGTGGTTTAACTGACAGCGATGGCCTTACTGCTGCTAGATACTATGGTTACCAAGGAATTTGCCAGAGACATTTGCTTTAAATTCTGCATAAATCTGACTTTTGACCATTACCATAGTTGGTAATGGTCATCATTTTTCAGCTGCCCTCCACCACAATGTTAAACTATTGACAGTATGTAATGTTGTGATGTCACATTAACGTCTTGGCTCACCTGATCCTGTCGCTCGTGCCGCTGTAACCCCATCGACTTTCCACCTGCTGGAACCTGTTAATGCTGCACTCCTCTCCGCGGAGGCAGCAGCGTGGCCGGTCTATGTACTCGACTCTCGGTTTGGGGTTTACTGTAAAGTGTAAAAACAGATTTACCACCTCCCGATCGAACAATATCCCAGACTGGGCAGGCCCTGTCGCACAAGAGAGAATATCTGTCTGTGGAGTGAGCAGGACAACTGAGCACTTTGGTTATGACAGTAACTTTGAGGAGATGGGCCTCATTCACACAAGCTGAAATAACAGCAATTAAAATACTGCAGAAGAAGTTTTTCTTTTTCCACACAAAAAAAGTAAAACATTTTTCCTTTACCTTTACTCTCTTTTATTAATAAAACCAATTAGTGTAACGTGAAATATAGGAAAAAGAGTTAGTTGAAAGGCTAAGGCTATAGTAACTAATACTTTCTAATCTCTGGTGGAAAACCAAGCTGAACCAGAACCAGTGCAAAACCAGTCCAGGATTGCCATAGAATTTTGGTTACCAAGCAACAAAAAATGGCTAATATATTGTCTCATATAACAATACAAAAAAGTGAGGAAGTCATGACAACCGGTACATACACTTCTTAATCCAAAGGCCATCAAAATGACTGCTCTGGGAGTTCTAGTGTTAAAACAATATGCAACAAAATGCTTAGACAAAATTTCAGGCCCCTTGAAAATAAAGCAAAGCAAACAAAGTAAGACCAGACTGATAATAATGACATGGAAAAGCTTGAAAAAGAAAAAGCAGTTGGCAATAGTTGGATTGAATGCAGAATGAATGTGCAGTATAAAAAATAACATAAACCTTTAATCGTTCCCCAAGTACGGGAAATTTCAAAGTCATCGTTGCGCACATTACAGCAGAAAAAAAGAGAAAATAAGAGCCCTCAGGTTGCACATATCAAAACGTCATCACAATGTGAAATGGACAAAGAATGAGAAAAGTGAATGAGACCCATTGCCTAAAATCAAACTCCAACTTGAGTAAACTTACCTGCAGCGAACTCCTCCACAGTCATGAGTGGGAAGCGAATGAGCGGCAGAGCTTTCCCTAATACTTTCTGCTTGTTTTCAGACGAGAGGGGAAGCTGCTGCCGGTAGCACTCTGCCTCAGCCCAGCGCACCACGGCCCCGAACAAACGGTTTTCCCTGATGCTCAGAGTGTCCCGCTCGAGCACCGCACATAACGTATCTACACACAAAACAAGTGTTACAAAAGAGAAATGTCCCCACTGTGGAATGAGCAAGGCAGGGCAAGTTTAATTGTATAGCACACAAGGCAAAGTGCTTAAAGGTCTCATACCACACTTTCTGAATTTTCTCTGCTTTAAACATCATTACAGTGCTATTTATACACATTATGCCCAGAGTAGTTTTTTCATTGATTTCCTCAAGCTTTAGTTAGAGAGCGATCTTCTCTTTCATTCTCGAGAGGCAGCCAAACCGACTCGGTCCACATTGATGACGCGGCCCGAGCTGCAGAAATCCGCCTCTAGGAGGTGATTGACAGGTGAGAAAACCAAAACAGGATGTTAACGCATGCAGCCTCTCCCGAGTCCAGTGTATGGTACTTTTAATGAACTATAGCGGGTCATTTTGAGCCAACGGTAGCAAGTACTGGCGTTTGATCATGCAACTGCTTAACCAAACTCATCCGTAAGAAGATACAGTGTCTTTACAATTTTATTTCATTATTATTATATGATACTTATTATTTATCATTATTTATTTGATAAGGACACAACAGTTACATTGGACAGACCAGATGCACTGTCTTTAGTGTTCTTCATCTTTACACTTTTGTCTCATATTGTACTTATCGAAGACATTTAAATGTTGTCAACTCTGATAATGTGAAAATACATAATGAAAATGACAAACCAACTCAAACAAACAAACTAAATAACAAAGTCAATCCTATAGTGTGAGACAAACTGCCAACGCTCAACGTAAATTACTGAAATTCTTACCGAGATCAATATCTGTGAACCCCTCTGCGTTTATTGCATCTCCAGTGCTTTTGTCGATAGTGTCCAAGCAGAGACTTGCAAGCTGAGGCTCGTCAAATAATCTAGCCTAAAAAAAGAAATAAATGCAAAACATTGGAATTTGTAAAATGTCATCACAAAAATATCAAACAAAAGTAACAAACAACATAGATCTCAGATGAATTGGAAAAGCAGTGAGTGAAATCATCTGAAGATATCTGACATAGTTGGAACAGATGTAAAAGCCCAAACAATAACTCAGAAATCCGGGTCAAACTGTTCATGATATGGGCTATAATGCTACAATTTGTCCTTGCTTTTGGATTTAGTGTGTATGCTTTCATTTAATTTTATTCATGTATTTCATTTATTTCAGGCAATGGCACAGATAAATTCAAGATAGTCATATAGTGCAAAAGGATAAAGATAGAGACAAATGTGAATTAACTGCATGTGTTAAGCTTCACTGCTTAGGATTATACTATGTTACATAATGGTGCTGTTATACCACAAGTAACAAATGATTAATACATTGCAACAATTTATATCAACAATGTCAGGAAATGAACAAAACCAGCAATGGTAAATTGGCAATATATCAACAATGGTAAAAAACAAACAAACATTGAACATATGTTGATCATCACAACAGAAATCCAGATTCACCCTCATCTCTATATTTTGACCTGGTCCATCCTCTAATCTTAACACACATTTTGATAGCTTACTATGTATGATTAAGAGTTTATGAGATCCTTTAACCTTTAATGTGTCCCGCAGTGGGGACATTTCATAAGAAGTGAAGACATGTTCAATATTGACTTTTCCACATTCAAAAGGATTTTGAATGTGGAATTTTGAAGGATTTAAACAAGTTTGTCATGCATTCCAGGCTTCAGCAATGCCAGTTTCCTACCAAACAGTTCAACATGACAACTGTCTTTTTATTTAAACCTACTTGTGTTTTTTATCTACCCTTTATTCAACCAGGAAATTCCCATTGAGATTAAGAACCTCTTTTTCAAGAGAGACCTGGACATATGTGTAAAAAATCACCACAAATGTCAACACAGGCATCAATGGACATGTTTGTTTTGATAAATATTCAAATTTAAAATGTTAAAATTATGTGATAATGATCCTTGGACTCATTGCAAGAACATGATGTCCATGTTTTATCTCTATCCAAAGCAGTTACCTGAGTTAGAAGCATGAAAGCGTTGTCGGCTCGAAGATGTTTGGTGAGGAACTCCACACAGTGACTCTCCAGTGCAGGGACAGCATACTTCTTTGCTGTGTACAACGTCGTCATAACAGTCTCTGGACCAATATGGACCTCGTCAGAATACAGAAACCTAGAACAACGTTTGAACAAGTTTAAGGTTATGTTTTAGAAGCAAAGAAAAATTCTCTCATCATCTTCTAATGAACCTTTCTTTCTGATCTGGATCTCTAGTTCTGTCTCACTTTTCATACCACTTCACTTTATTTGACATTTTCAATTATTAATGCACTCTTTTTAGTGCACACATGGACATAAACTGTTAACCTTCATTAATGCACTACTTTCAATTATTTAATAGCTTTTCACTTAATTGAGGAATACATTCTACTTCTCCTGTTCAATGAGGTGAGACGTTACACATACTTTGTTATAGTCACTAACCAATTACATGAACATGTTGTTCATGTACACTACATTAAAATGTTAGAAATGTGTAGTTTCTTTAGTTACAAGGATAAGTAGCTCCTATAGTGAAATAGTTTAGCTCCAAAGTAAATACGGTAAAATAACGCTAAATAACAAAAAGGTTATCCACTCTTGTCTGCTGATTGACTGTCAGTGCTGAGTTACATGGGTGTTGTGTTGTGTTCCATACCTGAGCAGGGCTAAGAAGGCGGCAGGCTCCACGTCAGGCAGCTCTATCTCGGCTGAAGTGGTGGCCATGCCCCCGTTGAACATGGCATCAAAGACCGCGCTGCCCGCTGCCAACACAAACTTGTGCGCGGGGATCCTCTGGGCCTGTCGGCCTTTGCCCACGATAAAGCGCACGTCGCTGAGCAGCTCGTTGTTGAAGAGGAAGGCGAAGCGCTCCTTCAGAGAGCTCTTGGTGGCCTGCCAGTTGTACACGGGCTCCCGCTGAAGGCCGTGAGCTGGAGGGGAGGCAGGCGGCCCGGGAGCAGAGCCACACGCCGGGACCGTAGCGTCACAGTGGTTTGAGGCCAGGCCGCCCGGTGCACCGCTCCCGGAGGCCGCCATGACGATGTTTCAACCACAAAGCCACGGACACTCGAGTGTTCAGTCTGTTTACGTCCAGTCCATCACAGACGCCATCGCTCTTCGATGTTTTGCTAATGCACCCGGAAGAGCGCATGCGCAAAGGACTGTTGAATATTTCTTTATTTACAAAAACAACAAGAAAGACAAAACATGAGAAAGATTTTTTTTAATGTAATAATATTAACATAGCTTAGAGAACAAAATGTATATTTGTTAGTCAAGGCTTCATCCAGAAGGCAACTGTAAACAAGAAAATAAATTACAATCGTAGATAATCACGGTACATTAAAAAGAGTCAAGATATAAGCCCTCAGTTGTATGCACAGCTGAAGGATTGTGTGGAACTTGTTGAACTGTTTTAACCTGGATTTAAGCCCTTCTCACATTTTCTTTTCTTTTTTTAGTTTTCACCTCGAGAATTCCATCTGTCAAAAATCCTTCTGTTATCAATATAAAAAGCAACCAAATATGTGAAAAAAAATATTACAAATAAAATGTATGACTGAAAAAAACCATAATAATCCTCCACATACCACTTGTTTATTACTCTATCACATTTTCCATAACCTGTAAAACGTGCATAACCGTTTGTAGACTGTGGGACGCACATACGGAGGAAGAGGGTGGTGGTCCATGGGTGGGACAGGGAAAGCTGATCCAAAGGCTGGTCTGCTTGTACCCAGAGTGGACCACCTCATCAAGACGAAACGTGTCCCGTAGAGCACATTTCTTCATATTTAACTTATGTAACTTCTGCTTCTTCACCATGTGATTCGCTTTACTACTTGTGTACCAAGAAGGCCCAAAATGAGCGCGTCTGCTGGGACCGGGGTATTCGTGCTGTCTCTCACGTCCATCCCAATTTGCTATATGTTCAATTCAATCGTTTGCAGCGACAGGTGAGTTGTGACGTGGGTGGAGTTGTACATTTTTTGTTTTTCTGGAATGAACTTGGCTGCTGTTCCAGTGCTGAGGCGTTGTTCTACGCTGGATTTGCCACTTTCGTCATTCTTTGCATCTCGGGACAGTTTATTCTCAACAAGAAGCCTCCTGCAGATCCTCTCTTTTATGGTATGAGACTTATATTACTTTTCATGTCCATAAACAAGAACAATAAATAAACAATAGTGAATGGATTTATTTATCAATAAATAATTACTGTTATGTATTTGCACGTTCTTTCAATATTAAGGGCTTTCTTCCCATTCAAGTTATTACTCAACTAATGCATTTAACCCTGGTCTGTTGTGTGAAACCTAATGAAATACTTTTAACAATGGTCGATTTCTTTTTTGTTTGTCCCTCAGTGGGGAATTTTCATTACGTTACAGAACAGTGGGAATGAGGAGCACACAACACTAGAATAAGTATAGAACAACTCTAACAGAAAATACCATCAAAGAATAAACAAAGTATAAAGAAGTATGCATATACATATAAACTTTTCTAGTGCAAATAGATACTTGTATGTTTACATCTATGGATTAATATTTAATAAACTAGAGCAAGAATAGTGAGGGAATTAGTCATTAGCTCTGTTGGTTCAATGACAGTGATGAAACTACTGTAGATATTAGCAGCATGGAGATTCTGACATTATTGCACGTTATTGCACAGATACAGGACATGTGAGGTCAGGTCGGCAGCGTTTATCAGTCCTCAATGTTCATGCTTTTGACATCTATTATCTAGGCTAAGACCAGCTATACAATATTAAGCTGTTGTCTTTACAATGAGGCTTAAGAAGTTGTTAAAACAAATATTTACTTTTATCAAACACACGTCTCATCATTAGAGTATCATGAAAAAGGTCAGTAATTTCTGAAAGTGAAACTCATTTTCTATAGCTTCATCGCACATATAGAGCTATATTTCAAGCCTTTTTCATAATATTTACATTTTCTTTATTCCTGTATTGCATTATACTGTACATATGTATTTACTATAGTCTATTTTACAGTTTATGCAGCTTTTTCTTTTCTGAGTGTCATCAATCTTATAATTGGATTGGAACAAGACAACATCATTGATGGCTTCGTGTCATTTTATCTCAAAGAAGCAAGTGTCAGACCTGTTCATTCTTAAAATCTCCACATGTTTTATGTTGTTTCACATTTTTTTTATATTGTAGGCAGATCCACATATTAACACATCCCACGGTCACATGATCTCGTATTGGGATGGCTGTATACACTATCTCATGTATCTACTAGTGATTGCAGCGATAACATGGGGGTAAGTCAGCATCTGAATTAATGTCTGTGTTTTTGCTTTTCCACTTTGTATACACATACTTTTGATAATAACAGGGACAGTTACAGAGCCATTGGCCTGTACTGGGTGGGATCCTTTCTCATGCGTGCCATAGTCTACATTCTCGGGAACGCTGTGGGTAAGAACACTAAAAATATGGTGACGTATTTGGATGTGAAGCCTGTTGAGACCTTGCTCAAACCAATCAGGGCATTTCCCCAAAAATACAACAATAGACCCCCACTAATACATTCTATTATTGGAACACTGACACACAGCATTAATTTCCAATTGTTAAGATGGTCATTGTACAAAAAGATAGTAACAGAAAGAGAAAGATATACAGGTTATACAGTATTTTTGATTACATAATACTGATTTTATTATACTGGTCAGTCGTCACCATAGCGGGACTCTTAACAATGAGCTGTCAATTTGACGGCTTTTAGTTTTGAATGTGTATGTACCTTTTTGGTCTTTCGAACTTAGTGACATTTTCTGTCTCTATATTTCGTTTATTTCTATTTAGTTTATTTTCATGAAATCATCTTTTTGGGTAGTTCCGAATTTAGCTCAATGTAGAATTCAAATGTAGCCTTTTTATATAAATGGTTTAACCAATGGACCAGTCCTGGTTCTGCCTGACTTGATTTTCCTTTGAAGAAGAGCCAGTGCTAGTTACCATAGCAACACACTGTTTACTTGCTTGTAGTTAGCATCTGGTCTTTAGCATTAGCCTTTCAAAATACTGTTTTTGCTGTATTTATAGTTATATTTACAAGATCTTATTAAAAGTGAGAGATGGTAAAAACCTAACCTACATTTTCTTTGAATAAAAACTGGTGGAGGGAATTTTTCAAGTCAAAATTACGTCTCTGTCAGTACTAGTGCTTTCATAATTCTGGGTCCTAGTGGTAATATTTATGTCATTTCTATTGTTGCATATATATAAAAGTGCACTTGTCATTATTTTCCAGGTAAATATGGGATCCATGTGAGTCTTTTGTCTATTCTCCACGGTCTGTACGTCTCTGTCGCCGTTTGGGCTTGTTTCAGAATATTCAGCCAGCCCTCCACTCAGGAGCCTCTGACCACAGTAAGACCCTGTAGTGCAAAACCAACACACACCACTCTAAAATACACTTAATACATACTAATTATTACACTGCAAAATATTATCACAAAGCTTAACACTAAAGGATTGCAACTCAACTTTGAATTATATGATTTCTTTTTTCATGATTTTTTAAGAGTGCTAAATACGTCACTATCATACATTTCTTTGGATTCATATTCCGGTGTGGTTTGATACTGAATAGTTCTTTATCTATAATCCATAACCACCAATAAAAAAGAAGACTATAAAGGAAAACATCTCCCACACCAAAGAAAAGTGATTGCAATGGATCAGCCACGCTTTTCTACATGTTTCCTATACAGTAATATCAATTATTGTAAAATCTTATGGTTCTAGCTGGATAGGTAGGGTATAGGGGATAAAAGAAAACTTCTCATATGTATTTTCTTTTGCAGGACACTCCGAGAACAAGTTTATTCCAAAGACCCACAGATCTGTTGTTTGTGATCTACCTCATACCAGCATTTGCCTTCTGTGTATTTCGAGGCTTGGTGAGAAATGTTTATTCAACAAATGTTATTATGTGTTCATGAAATGCAAATGCTCCTTTTAACTGTATTAGTAACTGGTTTTGACTTGTGTGTTCTCAGATCGCCTTGGATTGCCCTGGTCAATGGTGCCAGGACTACGCCAACCAGTTTGAACCCTACCTCAAAGACCCCACAGGCTATCCAAAAGTACAGGTGAAACATATGTGATTTTGACACTCTCAAATGGGTCATATTATTGTTGTCAGGATTACTTTGGCACTCTTTGTTGTCAATTTAGTCCATTTCTACTTTTCTCGTGTTACCATACGTGAGAAAAATGGCTTTTCAATAATTATACAAAACTATAGATTTTTTGATCTGGATAAGATAAGATAAGATAAGATATGCTTTATTGATCTCACAAAGGAGAAATTTACATGTCACATTGGCATGGATAGAACACTCAAGATTGTGCAAAAAGAAAGAAATGTGCAAACATGTTAAATGCAGGATATATTATGTACAACAGAAGTGTCAAGTGTCAATTAAGTGGCAATCAGAAACAGTGTAAGTAGTAGTGCAGGTTCTTTCAGTCTCATACAGTGACTTAAAGTGACTTATTGTACAGTCTGACAGCGGTGGGGATAAAGGCCCTGCGGTAGCGCTCCTTCCTACACTGAGGGTGCCTCAGTCTTCCACTGAAGGAGTTCCTCAGCTCCTCTACAGTCCTGTGCAGTGGGTGGGAGGTGTTGTCCATGATGGAGGTGGCTTTGACTAGCACCCTCCTGTCCCTCACCTCCTCCACAGAGTCCTGGGAGCAGTCAAACTGTACCAGATAAAACTAGAACATACAATTTTCCACTTTGTATATTCTCTTCATTCATGAGTTCTGCTTTTTCAGATGTTGGTGAGCATGTTGTACTCTGGTCCGTATTACATGATGGCTATTTATGCGCTTACCGTCCCGGGATGTCAGTGGATGCCTGATCTTACTCTAGTTCATTCTGGAGCGTTGGCCCAGGTGAGTGCAACTGAGTTTGTGTTGCCATAATGGTTCTGTACTGATCAAAATCAAATCATGTCATCTATTGTTAGCTAGTCATCTATAGTATTTTTTTGTTAAATATGTTTTTATTGTCCACCTGAAATAATTACAAATGGGAATAGTTTTATTTTATTTTATTTGTTTGGAGAATAAGCCCCTAGAGATGAAACATCTCGTTTTCGAGGGGGTCCTCAAATTTCTTTATGAGAAAATGTCCAAATTCAAGTGATCTAAGGAAGACGAGGGGACGACAGATTTATATGACAAAGCATAAAATATATACATTTCATCTCCAGCAATAATGCAAACAATTTAGTTTGAAGAAATATTTATGTCTTAAATTGTCATTATAAATTGCTTTCATTATACTACGTTATAAATTGTAGCGCATGCCAGATCTATTGTACATGTTTTTAGTGGAAGGGGAAACTGGAGCACCCGGAGAAAACCTACACAAACATGGGGAGAACTTGCTAACTAGATATTGGCCACAGAGCCGCTGGAAGCCATGGTTGCCAAAGAATTTACTGGTTTGTTCTGGGTAGGTTGCTAGGTAATGGCACATGTAACAGCAACACAATCAGGTAGAGTAGAGCCGAGAAGAGCTGCAGCGAGTGCAAACAAGGCTTTTGAACTCTATTTCAACCCCAGCCTTCCATATTGTGTATAATAATTCACTGCAAATACACACACAGTAATAGCTGTGAATGTACTTGTGACTTAGCTCGAGTTTTCTATTGCTTTTCCTTATTAGAATTTTGTATAAGCAGGTTGTGTATCGTGTAGAAAGAGTCATGACTGTCACTGTTGTGCATTTTTGCACCAAAACAGATGTTGTTAAGAATATGCCTAAGAGGAATTATTTGAACATGGGAACATTGTGACAGCCTGAGTGTTTACTGTGTGAGTGGTGCCTCCTGTTGTTGTAAATATGTGGAGGAGAGCCAGCTGCCCCCTGCCCTTTGAAAGAGGGGCAACTTGGTGTTTACTGCCCGCCCCAAACGCCTTCACAGGACTCCGACCGGAGCAGTGCTGTAAAGACCACTGTCACAGGTGCCGGTGCAGGCGTAAACTCAGAACGTGTGGCCTCACATTCCTCACATCTCAACTGTTTTCTGCTCAAGAAATGTACACCTTTATGTATGCAAAAATGTGGACACGATTATGTATGCCGACGATACGGTAATTTTTACACAAGCCAAAAGTGCTGATGATGCAGCCCATCAGCTCTCAATAGCCTTAAATGATCTACAAAAATGGCTGAATGATTCATGCCTGTGCCTTAATCTTAAAAAGACTGTATCAATGTTTTTTAGTAAACCTAAAACAACAGTGGCCGCAGTGAAAGTTTGCTTGGGTGGACAAGAATTAACTAATGTTGAGGAATTTAGGTATCTAGGAGTGCTAATAGACTCAAAATTATCCTTCAAAAAACACATTAAAAAAGTAGTGAAAACTGTAAATGTTAATATACGGAACTTCAGACATATTCGAACATCATTAACGGATACAGCAGCGATTACATTCCTGCACTCTATGATAGTATTGTATCACAAGTTGGTCCTATACGAGTCATGCTGCTATTGGGCCAATCGAAGTATGCTACAAAAGAGCATTGAAAATATTAGACAAGAAACCTTCATCATACCACCATTGTCAAATTTTAGATAAATATAAGTTTTTAAACTTTGCTAATTTTAAATTATTTAAATCAGCCTGTCTAATCTACAAGGTCATACATGGTCTGGCGCCTCCCCCATTGAGTGATTTTATTAAACAAAAGTCTATCAGTGCCGGGTCTCGAGTGACTCGAGCCACTGTGAGAAGTGATTGTGAATTGCCATTTAGGCGGACCAGCTTTTCACAGAATGTCCTGTCATATCAGGGAGTGAGCTTCTGGAATAGTATTCCACTGTCTGTGAGGGAAAGCACAAGTCTCCCTACCTTTAGGAGTCATTTAAAAGTGTGGCTGAGGGACACACAAACATGTGATCATGTTTAGTTAATGATGATAGTTACAAAAGGGGATGCAATTATCAGTGTCATACGGGCTGTGCAATGGGAGTCTGTTGGGCATGGGTTATACAATGGGGGTTAGTGTAATGCGGGTCAGTGCAATATAGAATGGTGCAATATGGGTCAGTGCAATATTAGGTCTGTCAGGTTATGTGCAATATTGGGGTTTGTGCAATACAGTCGATGCTTTCCCGTTACTGTTTTTCTATATTGTCCTTTGTTGTCCACTCGTTTTATTGTTTGTTCTATCAAGTGATCACTGTACTCGTCCTTGTCTCTCTGTACATAGTCTGTATATAGTGTCTCTGTATGTTTTTACTAACCTATGCTTAACACCAACCTGCCAGGGGGTCTGCAGATGGAAATTAGCCTAAGGCTATAATCTGGCATATTTACATTTGTGAAAATGTTCATTAATATGTATTGTCCCTCCTTTTCAAATAAATAAATAAATAAATAAAATAAATGTGATTTTGTATAGAAGGTTTTTTTAGAGCTTCGGTGGCTGATGAGGATTGATCCGGGACATTTAAGGGCATTTATTAACATGGACATCGGCCATCCCGCTTGACTAATGGATTCGATGTGTTTGTTATGATTGCATTCACTGTGTTTGAACGGTTTGATTCTCTGATCTGTTGTCAGCGAATTAACAACTTTACTGTCTGTAGCACAAGGCTGTATTGTAGCAGACCTGCACGTCACTCAGTGGACGGTGATGACTTCATTTTAATGTCAGCTGTTCAAAGCAGAAATAGAGACAACGGCACCACAGGCTGAGAGAGACTCACCACATGTTTGTTTGGTTCTTTTAAATAAGAACGTTATGTATAAGAACAAAATAAGAACTATATGTGTAAGGACAGGGGAATTTATTAATTCTCTCAAAAACCTGCGTACATGTTTTAACCTGTTTGTCTGTATGGGCCAATTACTGTTCTATTTCGTTGACTCTCTGGTAGATTCTAATGGTCTGATTTTCTATTCTGCTTTTGTCAAATCACTATTCTTTTTGATTTTGTATTCTGCTGTTTTCAAAACCTTAATTCTATGATACCCTTTGAGGGGCCAGCTATTAGTATTTTGGCCCGACAGTTACATTTATGTAGTGCTGGTATGGGCAAAAAAGACTTTATGGGAACTGGCCAGCTCTGAAACTTGGTTTGTATAATTCATAATCCAACTAAGCGTACAGTGTGCACATTTAATTTTTATAGACTTCTTGTGGCTATAGTTTAATTTACACCAGGAGCCATTCAAACCCCATTGTCCAGGCTCCAGATCTCTTTCAACAGGAGTGAGCAGCTGAACAAAAAACCTGAGACCCTTAAAATAGAATGATATGGAACTTTATAATTCGTTTTGAATTTACCTTCAAAAAATGAATACTACATGAGTGCCCAGAGTCAGGACTAAACATCAGGGGGCAGATTTTCATATTTATGCAGCTAAAATCTCGAGCAGTGTCGAGAAATATATAAAATATGAGACAGACTTCTACTCTGACAATGTTCAAATCCAGTTTAAAAACAGTTGTTTAGATGTGCCAACAACTGAAGGACTTCACTATTTTTAACGTACTGTGATTATTTAAGACTTTAATGCCTCGTGGGATTCTTGTTTCTAGTTTGTTTTGTTCAGCACTTTGAGTTGCCTTGTGTATGAACTGTGCTATAAATATATTTACCTTTCCTAATGTAAGAGATTGATACTAGGCGTATGGATTTATTCTCAGTGTTAATTGACAATTCTTCACAATCACCGCAAAAAACATTTAATTACAGCAAATTTAAAAGCTGAAATCAAGACACAACAAATGTTTTTATTTTCTATGACATTTTTTGCATTGTCTTTGTTTTGAATTTTACATGGCTCATCCCTCATCAATAGATCAATCTTGTATTTGTTCCAATCCCCTTCAGCACTATTACCTCGTTATATCTTTGTGTTTCGTGTTTATGTTTAGGCCCAGTTTTCTCACATCGGGGCATCTCTCCATACTCGGACTCCTTTCTCTTTCCGAGTCCCAGTGAACAGTCAGCCTCTGTTCCTGTTGGTGAATGTCCTCTACGCTCTGGTCCCTCAGCTCCTTTGCAATCGCTGCTGCACCAGCCCCAGCTTTTTCCTGTCCACCACAACCACATCTGATAAAAAAGACGAGTGAAACCTGAAAATAATGTCAGACGATTGGTCAGTGCCACTTTCTATACTGAAGTTTCTGGATTCTTGACACTTCAAAGCTGATTCACAATCTATTTGTATTCTTTCTCCTTTCTATTATTGTTCACCACTTTGTTTATTTATATAAATGTATATATGTTTGTGTGTGCATATTTTCTCACTTTTCTTGCTGTTTACTTGTGGAAAAAATAAAACTAATTGGACATTAACACAGGTCTGAATTGGTTCACTGTCCTTCTAAGATCATTAGGTTAGAAGTGGTTAGGCATGCTTCTAAGTGTATGAGTCATTGTTAAAGTAGGTTGCCATACTTCTAATATAACAATAATAATAGACCTCAGTTCGATGGCGCTTGTCAGAATGTCATAGTTGCAGGGGAAGTGTCTTGTCCAACAACAGTTTGGTACTTTATAGCCGCAGCCACCACCCATAGGTCTCCCATCACAATACAAACCAGTCCCTGACCTGCTTAGCATTTGAGGTTTGACAGAATGTGGCTTTCACTTGCAAATATTTGGGGTTGCTTTGTATATGAACTGTGCGAAACAAATAAACTTGCTTCCCTACATTCTGGTTTATGTGGTTTTGTGGTGTGTCTGTTCCAACATTGACCGGGGGCGGCGCTGTAGCTTTAGATTAGCCCCAGAGTCGAGAGCTCGTGGAAGAAAATCCCCACACATCCATGAGACCACATGACTCGTGTTTGTTTCTGTCGCGAAAATCACCACTTAACCAACACACGGCTGTTACGTAGGAATAATACGACTTATAATTTCAGTAGAACATAAATATTACTTCTGGGGATTTGCATCATGTTATTGAAGATGTGCCAAAAAGGGTCGGACGCCAGGAAATAAGGAGAGCTAGCTTAATACAGTTAGCATCTTTCGTCATGGCAGCAGCTCCTGCTCCAGTCTCTGCTCCAGTTCTCAGGTGCCTGCTGTTTATATACGGTATATTCTACGTGTGCATAGGTTTGTACTTGTTCTCGTGCTGAATAGCTATGTGGTTGAGTGTCTTTCATTGATGAAAAATACATACACGATTCAATTGGGCTGTCGGTTGAAAAAATCTTGGACACCCATTTCATTATTTATTATATGCATTTAGTGTAGAAATGATTAGAAAGATGTTGGGATCCGTAACCCCATTTTATCTTTTCCATGCTTTATATGTTATTATTGAGTTGATTATTTTAGAAACATTTGCAGAGTGTCACGTAGTTAGACATTACAGATCTGAAGTGATTAGCTATGCTTCTAACTTCCTATGAGTCTCTTTTTGACAATTTGGGCTGAAAGCTGATTGGCTGAGTGAGAGTGGTCCTCTCTTTTTTTCACTTTCCTGTCTGAAAAAGTTGATCTAAAGATGTGACATTTTTTTATTGAATTACACAGATAAAATCATTAGCACCCTTGATTTAATTGTTGATTGTGTTGATAGATTTGTTTTATACTAGTCATTAAATTACAGCGAGTTTTGTGTAAAGTGAGTGCAGTTTCAGAGACATTGCCACGCCCCCTCTGTAGTCGCCTGGGCGTGTCTTTAGTCAGACAATCATTTCTTTGATCAATTACAATGTCCAGGGTTACAATAGTTCGAAGAGTGTGGTTATGATTTCTAAAACTAAGGAAGATAAGAACCTGACATTTCCTAACTTTTGTTTGTGTAATGATGTTTTGCATGTTGTCACCAAAATCAAGTACCTCGGGCACATCATCACTGAGGACATGTCTGATGATGATGACATTTACAGACAATGCAGAGTGTTGTATGCTGTTGTACAGAGAGAGTGAAGCTAACGTTATTTAAAGCGTACTGTACTCCCTTATACACAGCTCATCTCTGGTCTCATTATAAGAAAGCCAGCATGCGTAAGCTCCAGGTGGCCTATAATGATGCTTTGCGTGTGATTTTGAAAAAGCCGAGATGGTCAAGTGCCACAGAAATGTTTGTTAATGCCAGAGTGAACACTTTACAGGCCGTGCTACGAACTTTGATGTACAGCTTTATGTGTCGATTGCACACGTCTGAAAATGAAATAATAGTGTCCCTCACGAATATAAAATGGAGTGCGACACGGTATCAATCTGACTTGTGGAGACATTGGCATGATTGTCTTTTTAAAATGCCATTTTAATTGTTTGTCTTGTCCTTTATTTTTATTTTATTTTATTGGACTATGAGTCCGGAATAAAGTTGAATTGAATTGAATTGTCTGATATACTGTTTTATTATACATTTGTACAGCATAAACAAATAGGAACAGAAATCTTTCTCTTGTTTTACTGGAAAGAAGTTCTAAACAATGTATGTATCGGCCTAGTACCTGCTCCTGTGAAATGTGTTCACAATATCTAATACTATTATATTTCTAGCCAAAAGCAACGTCGGTCTGCATTGAGAAAGGAAAGAAGAAAGCGAAAACGTCAAGCTTTGGCTCAGTCCAAAGAAAATGGTAAATTAAAATACAGAGGCCTTTATTTGTTTTTTCAGCTTTGTGCAGCCATGAAGAATACATTTTCTCAAATTATGTCTGATATTTTTTACCTATAGGTGTAAATGATGAAGACAATGAAGAGGTTGATGAAGCTGTAGATGACAACGAGGAAGAGGACATTGAGGAAGTGCAAAGGTATAAGTATATGGAGGTATCTAGGTTTAATATTGGAACCAGTACTAAACTCTGCAGACGAGGCTTGCCGTTCTTGTTTTCTAGAGAATCTGCCATATTTATTTACTGATTTAGGAACCATGTTTTCCTGATTGTTTCAGACAGCGTCTCCACGAGCAGTGGTTGGAGAGGGAGCGTCTGGCTCAAGAGGAATTCAAGCTGAAGATGGAGAGAGAGGAGGCTGCGCAGAGACGAAGGGAAGAGGAAGAGGTAAAACTGTTTTTGAAAATACATCTAATCTGAAGTGAAACTCGGAAAATTAAAATATCATTCAAAAGTCAATTTACTTCTGTATTTCAACTTACAATGTGAAACTAATACATGAAACTCAGCTGTAAAAAACACAAATGAACCAAGACACTCCTCTGTAAGCCTTAATCATTCAATTCAGTCTTATTTGTATCGCCGTAAATCACATATCTCTCAGGACATTGAGTCGCCAACAACAGATCATATAATCAAACTGTTCAATGCAATAATAACACACATTGGTGCATAGGGAGCAGGACATCCATAATTTATCAAAAACAAAACTGGCATTAGTCGCTTTCCTGTGATGAGTCTTTCTCATATATTAGTTTCAGATTTTAAGTTGACAGAAATAAATTAACTTTTGAACAATATTCTAACTTTTCAAGTTTCACCTGTACATTAAAGAGGCCATGTTATTCAAAATCAACTCAAGAGCTTTGTCCTTTCTTAATTGTTTTTAATCAATAAAGTTTTAAAACATCTTATTGCTTTAGTCTAGAGTATAATAACATGTTTTTCCCCAGTTAGATTTCATAATTTACAACCCCACTATATTATTGACCTAGTTCACAAACATGCAATTTTTCAGGTCTAAAGTCCCATATAGTGTCCATGAATCCCAGAAAACAAAGCAATAAGACACATTCATACATGCACTAAATGGAATACACCAGTAGCTGAGAAATTATTAGATCAAAATACTAAAAGGAATCTGTTCTTTTTTTATTTCCACATAAGTCGGTTCCGGCAAAATGCGAGGGAACTTGCTCGGCCTGGTTCTGCGGTCGACTCTACCTCACTCACGTATGTCTTTTTGTTTAACTCTCCGCAGCGACTGATCAAAGAGGAATGGGAGGCGCGCCAGAGGAAAGAGCAGGAGGAGCAGGAGCAGAAGAAGCAGGAGAGGAGAGACAGAGAGGTGATGCGTGCCCCAGGAAGCTAACACGGGGAAACATATCCTCCTCTGAGCATTGTCTGGAGCATTATATCCATTATTTCAACAATATATACTAGGCATTTTGATTGTTTTGAATTGTATTTTTCATGTGAACTGTTGTAAAGTAGTCCTTAACTGAGCAACACAAGCCATCATAAACCTCCCCTTAACTAAGACACACTCCTAAAGAAACATCAAAACAACTGATTGCTACAAGGACGTATCTTTTACCGTGTCTTGCACAGATTTGATGTCCGTGTTACAGTCTGTTATCTTTCACAAGTGTGGTCTTAACAGTCCGTGAGCAGATATTTCTTTGTCCTGAATCTATTACAAGCCCTGTGTTTGCACCATTTATAGGAGGCTGTTCAGAAAAGGTTGGACGAAGCAGAGAGTCAGGTAAACATTATATATATATATTCACTACTGCTTAAATGTAAATAATTTCTGAGGCAAAATGAAACACCAAACTGTAAACTATACTACGCGTTATGTTTCTCTACATCATCAATGATAAGTTGGTCTAGGTGAGGCTGGGTGTTTTTATCATGGATTTGTGTTTGAGCGCAAAATATATTTACATTACGGATCTATGCACTTGCAGATGTAGAACTAGACACTATAAATTATGTTTAACTTTGCACACACAGTTTAACGCCAGGATTGATAATTAAAATATACCCTTTTGTTAATGGCCCCCAACAACAACAACAGTAGAACAAGTCCACATTGTTTGTAGCGATCATATTTTTCTTATAAAATACACATAGTTGATACATTGTAAGGATGTTGAACTTGGTGACTCTGTGTTTGTTATTATTGCATTATCTGTGTTTGAGCTGTTTGATTCTCTGTTCTATAAAGCCCCCCGAGACTTGTGATTTAGGGATATACAAAAACACACTGGATTCACGTGGATTGGCCCAGGAGTAAGAGAAATTAGCTACAAACAAAAATCTGACTTTTGACAGTTCCCATAATTGCCAAGAAAGAAAATCAAGTGTCCTCCATCAGAATGTCAAACTATAGGCTCTTTGCGATGTTGTGGCGTAACATAAACTCGACCTATTGGATTAGTATTTTTCTGATCATGTCCATCAGTATTGGTGTGTACAATTACTCTTCTATTGCTGTTGTTTGTTTAAACAGTTAGAAAAAGGAGCGACCTGGATGAATCCTGAAGCTCCGAATGAAGGCTCAAAAAACTATGGCACCGAGCGAGACGTGGCCAACTGTCCCTTTTTCCTCAAGACGGGAGCTTGTCGATTTGGAGACCGGTATTTTCGCTATAACCATTACACTTTTTATTCAATTCATTTAGCTTTTTTTTTTTATAACAAGACATAGGCGAGGCCAGTTTATTTGTATAGAACAGATCATATGCAAGGAAACTCAAAGTGCTAAACAAAATAATATAGCATTAAAATCATAAATAATCACAATACATCAATGGATTTAACATGGCCTGTCTCACAATTCCAGGAAGGCTGTTTCAGATTTTGGGCTGAGAGCTGATTGGCCGAGTGAGGGCTGGTTCTCTCTCTCTAAAGATGTGACAGGTTAAAAAAATACATGTGAAATCTAGTGATAGAAGCTGTTTATAGAGATCGGAGGTTGTTACCTGGTTTTTATTACATAGCGTTGAAACCACAATTAAATGATCAATCTGCTCCAGCTTTAACTACAATTACAGACTTGGTAAGGTTCACAATCTTTTCAACTATAGTAAAATACTGAAAACATTTACAGTGAGCTGAATCTCTGAGATGGATACATAGTTTTCATATCCATATTAAATTAGGTTTTAAACACAACAAAGTGAGGCAAAATGTGGTAGAATATTCAAAGTTAGAAGCCACTATACCACACTAGGGGTTGAGAGCGTTCATATATGAGATGAGTTCCCATGTGTAGACGATTAAACTGAATGGATTATTTCAGAAACTTGGATTCACTACAGAACTTGAAATCACTTCTCAAAAAAAATGTTTCAGCTTGCCTTTCCTTAATTTTGTTCAATGTTTATTTTTATTGTTTTGTAAAGCGTCTTTGAGTGTCCAAAAAACCGTTATATAAGTTTGATGTATTATTATTATTATTATTATTTCATCAAACTATGAAAGCATAAACAGCAGTATTTGACTTTTCCTGTCTCGCTCAGATGTTCCCGTAAGCACGTCATCCCCAGCAGCAGCACAACGCTCTTGATCCGCTCCATGTTCTTCACCTTCGGAATGGAGCAGTCAGAACGCGACGACTTCGACATGGACTCGAGTCTGGAGCACAGCGAGGAGGAGCTGCAGGAGCATTTCATCGACTTTTACCACGACGTCCTCCCGGAGTTCAGGAGCATCGGGAGAGTGGTGCAGTTCAAGGTTCGGATTTACAACGTTCAGACACTTTTTTGAGATATCTGATAACATATCTCTTATATCCAACAAAACAAACAAAACAAATTTAAACATAAAGTCTCCGACTGGATATCATGCACCAGCAGAATAAGCTCTCCCAGATAACAGGCGCTGACTTCTTTTGACGTGATTTTATCAAATTGAATTTCCTGTTGTCAAAGTTAATTTGAGCTGAAATGAACCAAACTAAAACAATCAGACAATTTACACTAGTGTCAAAAAATATGTAGTCAGTTTGAAGTCTCCACATCTCGACCCCATAGAACATTTTGGAGGGAGTTGAAAGTCTGTGATGACAATTCCAGGCATCTTTGTGGGAGGACTTGCAAATTTGCTGGCTGACCAATTACTTTTTGCCCCTCTGTACATGTACCTAAACAAAGCACTAAGTTGGACTGTATCACACCATGAGTGCTGTTGCGCAGTAGACTAATACATGTTTGTGTTTAGTTGACCATCACTGGGACTGGGCTAATAAAAAAAAATATGATGTCATGTTTTTGTTTCAGGTTAGCTGCAATTACGAGTCACACTTGAGAGGAAATGTCTATGTCCAATTCGAAACGTAAGAATAAGTATAATCAGTGAAAGAGTTGTTGTGGCCTTGAACTAGAAACTATATTCTTTGCCTTCTCTCAGGGAGGAACAGTGTCAAGCGGCTTGGATAAAGTTCAATGGGCGCTGGTATGCAGGACGGCAGCTCCAGTGTGAGCTGTGTCCTGTCACTCGCTGGAAGAATGCCATCTGTGGTAAGTTTTAGGTTCTAATATTATCACCGGCCATTTTAACCAGGCAAAAAAACAGCGCTGCTTCTCCATCTCTTATCACTGGTGAACCAAAATATTAACCTAAATAATGTGGACACATTGATTAAATCAACATTTTGATCCAAAAAGGCCAAATATGATTGTTATGTTATTCAGAGAGCACAGGGAATCTATTTTAAATTTAAATGTATTCTTTTTTTTTTTTAAATCTCTTTCTGACTGTTGCACTGAGCCAAAGCAATTTCCAAGTCTGTGACTTCCTATTACTTACGTGGCAATAAAAATGATTCTGATTCCGATTATTCCTGCAGAAATGGATGATAATTTGTAAGAGTTTATTATGAGATAAATGAATTTGCTCCTAAACCTTGTGTTGCTTTCAGGTTTGTTTGACAGACGGAAGTGTCCCAAGGGGAAGAATTGCAACTTTCTACACGTTTTCCGCAATCCGGGCAACGAGTTTTGGGAGGCGGACCGGGACATTTCGCCCGATAGGACAAACCGAGGAGGCGGATGGCATTCCGAGAGACGCAGCGACCGATCATGGAGACAGCAAAGTCCGTCCCGGTCCGAGAGGTCTTTCAGGGGAGACTGGAGGAGTTCCCGCTCAAGATACAGTGAGAGGCGGGAGGATAGAAGTAGAAATAGATCGAGAAGTCGCAGTCCGGATCGGAGTAGACTGAGGGGTAAGAGTAAAGACAGAAGTAAATCTAACAGGACAGATAGGGAGTCCAGATCTAGAAGCAAAAGCCGAGAGAGGACACGAACCAAACGAAGTCGGAGCCCAAAGCGGGAAGAAAAAACGATCCCAAAAGACGAAAACAGCCCACACAGACGTCACAAACACTCGAAAAAGAGCAAAAAGAAAAGCAAGAAAAAGCACAAGAAGAAAGGTAAAGAGTCGCCAAATACATCAGAGGATTCACATGAAGAAAGTGTAAGAACTCCCAAAACTGACAACAAAGAGGTGTGTGTTGAAAAACAAGAGAAAGAGGAAGATTGCCCTGAAAATGCTGATAAAAATATTGTAAATGTTGTAGAGTCTTTGGGAAATGACTGTAAGGAACAAGATTAGAAATGTGAATAGTTTATACACTGCTACGTCAATGTATTGTTTGTATATATTTTTGAAAAAAGCGGACTAGTTTGTTGACCAGAGAATCCGTTGCCTTTTGTCAAATAAAAAGATGGAAAAAAACTAATTGTCTTAAACATTTAATACTTGAAATAAAAAATATGTGGCAGCATTGTAAAAAGTAACTTCTTTGCACTAAACATGAGATCAAATTTATTCAACAAAAGAAGGTAATTAGTTCACTTTGTATATCCTATCTGAATTAATCTTGGGACCATAGCACGTTTACCTTTTGAATAGAAAATATTCCCAGAACACAGTGATCTTTGGTCATGTTAATTATGTAAATTTATTTGGCATACTGTAAAGACGACGTAATGGCCGCTTACCTAGCTAAAGTAATTCAGAGTGCTACTGGAAGCTATGGTTTTCCAGTAAATTCCACAGATAATGGTGTGTTGTGGGTAGGTTGCTAGGATACAATACCAGATACTACAGTGTAAATGATCCACAACCTAATTCTTTAGTAAATTAGTTGCAATTTGATTCCTACATAGTATGCCCTTTATCCAAATGGTCAAAAGCACAATAGTTATATTTATAGTTTAATCGTCTGAAAAGCTATGGGCATTCTGGGTGTGACCTGAGATATCTTTAACAGGCCAATTAAGACGTTTGAACAAGAAAACACAACATTGGCTACAGTTGGGCAAAAGAACTACAATAAGTACATGGTTTAATACTGACATGCGAACTGAACTTAGCTTTGATCGAAGTGATTCGGTTTCATACTAATAGTAACAGTATAGGCCAAATCTAAGTGGCATTGCTATATTATCTCTAAAAGTGGTTCTCAACCTGCAGAACAAGTACCATGCTAGTCCATCGTTTAGTATTAGTCTTTATGCAAAAGTGTTGCATCATTTTGTCAATATGTGGTACGTCTAATCTTAACTAAATCAAGACTAAGCTAAGGGTGCATCCAAATTATGTAGGAATACCTCCTTGATCATTGTTGACATTACATTTTTGCTAAGCACCAATTTAAGTGTTTATACTATGTTACTTACTAACCTTAACCCTTACTTGAATAAACTCAAAGGTCTTGTTTCAGGTCCATTTGAAAAGAGGAGGAATATTTTTATCAATTTATATCAAAGGATTGAGCTGATTTAGACTTTAACCTTTGTGTGATACGGTATAAAGAGCATAGCATGTGTTCCATATTAACAAATTATTACAATTCTGATGAAATACTATTGATTTAAGAAGTAGACTTGGTTTAGTCCCGAGTCCCAGTCCACATTTTATCATCACAGTTGGCACATATACCTTTTGACCTTCTAAAGTCCCGATGAAGTCCTATCTTGAACCACATTTTGAGTTCAGTTAATTTAAAAACCCACATGTTTTGTTCTGAGCTGTTTGAGAATCACTAATACCGAGTCTGGACTGTAATGGGAGTGAACAAGGCGAATTGTGTGGTTTGGTTGCAGGGAGAAAAGTTTCAGGTCTTACACAAAAAGACAACATAACCACAATTGGCACCACAGCAAAAGACATCACAAGGAAACAGTCAAATATACACAACACTGACAAAGACAGAGCCCGGACTTCATGCTGATGGATTATGTCAGGCCAATCTCCTCCAACACACTTCGTGGGGCTTCAGCTTCCTGTGGGGAAAAGAAATGCAGAAAATCAGATGTAAAGTAGTTCAAATGCTCTGCCAGGATATACAGTATGCCCTTCTGTCAGTGTGCCCCAGGGCAGCTGTGGCTACAGTTTATCACCATGTATGGAGTGAAAGAATTACATTTGAAGCATCTTTGAGTGCTATACAAAGTGCTTTTAAAAATAATAATAATAAATATGAGTGAAGATGGGTTTTGATGTGAAATACATAAATTCCCTGTTGGAATCAAAAGCTTTCATTGAAAATCAAGATCATCATTTTTACCATTGTTTATCACATTAGCCCTAGTCTCAGGTATCTGTACTGGCTTCCTGTGCCTCAGAGAATTGCCTTTAAAGCAGCTCTGATTGTGTCTCCATGGCCTTGCACCAAAGTTGACAAGTGCCTTATGAACCTATTCTGAGAAGCACAGGGACTGGGCCTCCTGCTGCTGCCCAGAGTCAGGACTAAACAGAGAGGCAGCGTTTTGGATTCATACAGCTAAAATCTAGAACAGTATTCCTTAAAATGCGAGAAAGGCTATGACTCCGATATGTTCAAATCCAGGTTGAAGGTTCTGTTTAGCTGTGCATACAACTGAAGGATTGCACCATGACTCTTCATAATTACTGTGAATATTTGAATGGCTTGTATGATGGCTTCTATCTTGTTTTGTTTGTGCAGAGAATGAATGTATAGCACTGGCTTTATCTTAAGAGTTCTTGAATGTGTCTGTTTGGGGTGTACCTCTTGCAGCAGGTCGGCCTGCTCGATGGCCTTCAGCACATTCTTCTTGGACGTCTCCTGAGCCTCTCCTCCCAACAGGAACTCGTCCAGGATGAAGTAGGCTTTCTCAAAATTGAAAATGATGTCCAGCTCACAAACCTATGAGGAAACAGAGCGAGGAAGCATTCAGAAAGTCAACAAACAGACATTACTGTAGTTTATTGTTCTGAAAAACTCACGCTGCCAAAGTACTTGTCCAGTAGCTCCACATATCGGTGAATGATCTCCAGAGTGATCAGCTCGTTGTCCTGGTCTTCAACAGCACAACAGAAATACAAACTTGCATATCTGAAATGTAAACAAAAAACTCATGTAGGCAAAGGGTGGAATACAGACATCTGGTTATATCTGGACTTTGAAGACTTTTGCAGGTTTGGTTTGATTTCATTTAGATTTCTGTTTAGAGACCTCTGCTTAAAGAAACTTTAGATCACGTATATAGGGTTACTAAACTAAACCTATACAAGGAAACAACTGTATATAAGGAGTGGACTGACCAAGCGCTGACGTCACTATAGGACTTTTTTAAGCTAGGACTGTACTTTTCAATGAAAGTCAAGAGAGTTGGAGCAAAACTATGTCCATGAGCACTTCACTATTGGGCTTCATTGAACTGGGGGTTAGCATCGTCCATCTATATACAGTCTATGATCTTGACATATAGCTACCTCTTATAGCTCCATCTGCTTTCTCCAATTACAAAAAAAGAATTGGTGTAATTAATGACAGATTACATATAAAAAAAAACTTCAAGAAAATTAAATATGCCAATCTTCAACGTATACACACTCAAGCATCGACCATGCACACACATTACTTAACACAGCCACAAATGTCTGTTCTTGCAATAATAATGCCTTTGCCATCACTGTTAGTTTGAGTCACACTATGGCCTTCATTGTTTTTAGTGTTCAGCGCCAACAAATGTAATATTCAGCAATATCAGCAAATCTGTGCATGAGTCAGTGTTACCCATTGTAGAGCTGAGAATTGTGAGGGGGCGGTGGAGGTGGTTTGGCTTCAAAATACAAACAGTTTCAAATGAATCTGAAACAAAACACTTGAAGGCTGAACTAAGACGTGTCCTTTTTCTTTTCATCCTCTCCAATCAAACATAAAAAGGTGCACGTTCTCTTATCTGCATATGTGATTGCCTTAAATAAAAGATTTGATTGTTGGAAATTTAAATAAATGGTACAAAAAAGGGAATTAAAAAATATAGAAATCATGGCAAAATAAATGTTTCAGTACTAAGAAAAAAATATACAATTTAATCTTTTGAAAATGATTCCTAAACTTTCCAAAGCAATGAAGACATGTGGGAACATAACAGAGGCAGACAGGTTACCAATGTTTAACCTGATAAAAGACCGACCTTGATCTATATTTGGAAATATTGTATCGCCTCACCTCTTATAGACAATCTTGAGGTCCCTCCACTCCAGAAAGCTGCACATTTTGGGTTTTCTGGCCAAAATAGTCTGGACCAGATCCCTGGAGATCTTCTTCCTCTCCTTGTCTGACAAGGGCACATACCATTTCTGTAAACGCAGTTTCCCCTGGCGGCTGAATAACAGCATGAACTGCATCTACAGGAACAGGAAAATGTTGAAATGCAGTCCAGTCGATACATTTATGAGACTACAATAAGCGTTTGCAAGTAATTATCATGTGAAGAAGTAAATGTGATAGTGTCCATGTCATATTATATTTAAGGCCTCTACTCTGACAATGTTCAAATAAAAGTGAAAACAGTTTAGTTTAGCTGTACATAAGCTGAAGAATTGTATCTTCACTCTTGTTCAATGTACTGTGATTATTTTAATGCCTTGTGTGATTTTAATGTCTATATAATATTTGTTTTTACTATGGCTGCTTACAAGCCAGTTAATCATGGTTTTCTTGTAAAATAAATGACAATTCCATACAATAACATGCCATAAAATAAGACTAAAATAGTTTTCCAGTGTTTATGAATACCTAGCTTGGAGCAATGATAGACTATTCTGAGTTGCATACATCCTTCCTTCCTGCTATGAACAATATCAATACTAAAACCCTTTGCGACGCGTGGCAGAGGTCTATCTTCCACATCCTTACCATTGACGGGGGGTTGGAGTCGTCTTTCTGCTTCCTGTCTTAGAACTTCATTTGCTTAACATTGCAAAATCGGAAGTAAATTCGGAGGGGAACCTCAGCCAGTGATGCCTCGCCTGTTAGCTTTCTGGACGCTACGCTAGCTGGTGCATGACGGTAGAATTCAACCAGCTCTGATTGGCTGATACTGCCTAAGTGCTGCTATCTGATTGGCTTAAAAACCGTTATTTACTAAATCAACAAGATACGTTTGACGTTTTTAAGTCAAATAAAAACGTCAGGAATGTTCCATTTGGATTTGGTTTTCTATTCATTATAATAAGGTTCTTCAAGATAATTGACATATAATTGATAATTTATTTATGCATAAGTAGAGTATGATCGTGACTGTGCGCAGACAACTAAACCTTAGCTTTGGTGACCTCTTCTGGATACACTTGGAACTACAGGTGTGATTTTGCGATCACCTGACGTAAACTCATCAAGGCAATCCTTTCTCCTTTAAAGACTTTACATTGTTTGAAGTCGCTTACCACTTCTGGTTGTGAGAGGCATTGACGCCACAACGAGAATATTTTTAATCAATACTGCTAAACGCTAGCATACGGGCTAGCATACTCTTCACTAGCAGCATCCGCAGAGCAGTGAAGGTGTCCTGCTATTAAAGATGATCTGCCGAGTTTGAATGATGAACCAAGACACGGTGAGTACGAAATGACTATCCTTGAATACCTGCCGTGTACATAATAACGATTGCTTTGCACATAGTTGTCAAAATGCACATAACTTGTTGGTATTGATTGCACAGTGGTCATTATAATGAGGAGTCGCAGTAACTCGGGAGTACGCCTTGATGTTTATGCCCGGCTGGTGCATGAGACGATCCTATGCCATCAGGTGAGATTCAAGGTTCCTTTACACCAATTTCCAAGCAAAAGCGTGATCCTAACGCTGTTTTATACACAGTAATTACAGTATATAACATTATAGGTCTGTACTCGAAAAACAGGTTGTGCTTAAGTTCGGCCAGGATTGTGTCAGAACTAGCCAAGACATGTTGAGTTAGAATATGCATTTTTAACACCCAGACAAGTCGAATGTTAGAAAAAAGTGTAGTTTAGGTTTTTTAAGTTTAAATTTATATAGGGGAAATATTTATTATTTCTTAAACGAATGTCCCCCTGTAAAAAGATTATCTATTGGTTAGATGACCCCAGTCAGACTTGCTTCTTTCCAGAAACAGGCTTCTACAGTACATGGACACACAACACTGCTTTGTTTACATTCTGCCACATATACTGCTTAGGAATTGACTGGGTTAGAGTAGGACAAAGGTCAAAAAACACATGTATCTCTTATCAAAGGTGATTTGAGTTTACGCTAGCTTCTATTTGTCACTAAGTATAAACTGTGAATCTAATGTCAGCAATGTGCCCCTTGAGATTACATGGTTATTAATACATATACTGTAGTTTCCATAGGACTTTTTCTGCATGTCAGCTGTGGGAGTTGTTGTATAGTCGGGATAATTCTTCAGTTGTAAATGTGAAATTACAAAGTTAATATGTTTTATAACAGAGATACAACATATGTACCTCGTGTGTTGTCCTTTATGTTATGTGTTATTATGTCTTGTATGTAAAATATCAAATAAGTGTTTGTGTGTGTATGTGAAAAGTAATCTTTTATGTTATAATTTGTATACTTATTACAGAACCATGTGATTTGGGGTGATTGGCTGAGTGAATTTGGTCCTCTCGTTTTAGTGATAGCTAGTGATAGTTACATTTCTTCTAAAGTCATGTCTTATTGAGGTTTGAAAGTTAGGTTTAACATTATCCCACTATGTTCAGAGCCCAGTGACCGGCCTGCTGCCTGCCAGTGCCCAGCAGAAGGATGCCTGGGTGCGGGACAACGTCTACAGCGTCCTGTCCGTGTGGGGGCTGGGAATGGCATATCGCAAAAATGCAGACCGAGACGAGGACAAGGCCAAAGCGTATGAGCTGGAGCAGGTGAATGCATACACAGTGTTTGCTTTGGACACATGCCCTCAGTGTTTGACTCTGTTATGTGAGCAGAGGCGTGGGTTTCATTGGACACTCTAACGTTTGTGTTTTTCTCTTGGTTACTGACTTTTTATTGGTTGTTTTGTTTTTCATATTCAATATAGTATATGTAGTTGATTGGATGTAACACATCTAAAACATCTGCCACAATAGTGTTTATGGCAAGATTTCAATGGCAAAAAGTGGTAGTTGTAGTAATTATTTATTTCAAAATAAAACAATAAACAAGATAAATACTGTTTGAAAAGAGGCTGGACTTTAAACCAGTTATCATTTGAATCAATAATATATTTTAATAGTAAATAGAGAGAGTTATGACCGTGGATATATAATGATGTTTATGACATTGTTGTATTCCCATTTGTTTTTCAGAGTGTGGTGAAGCTGATGCAAGGTCTTCTTCAGTGCATGATGCGACAGGTAAGACCAGTGGTGGGCAAACCCCGGCCTGTGGGCCAGTCGCGGCCCTTTGGACCTTTTATAAAGACTGTAAAACCCTCTTGTGCTGCTCTGGAGCCTCAGTCGTGCTCCTTGCTCTGCCGCACCTTTGCATTGTGGGTGGCCTCAGTTCATTAATTAATTAATCTGAAGAAAAGTAATCTGGATTAACCAGTGTCCAGCACAGGACACGAGCTGACTCCAGTGAGCTGACTCCTGTGAGGCAGAATTAGAACATTTGATTTTGATGTTGAATTCAGTGGATTTAGAGCTGTGGTTTTCAAACTGTGGCCCTGGGTCCATGCAGCTTCCAGGTCATTAAGCACAAATTAAATTAGATATAGGTATATAGATATTCCTTATTATTGGAAATGAAGTCTGTCCCTCGATAGCAGGCGGATATGTGGCCCACAGGAGGAAACTTAGCTCACATCTCTTTTCAGCAAATGTTTCTTTAGCTTTATTCAAACTCTCTTGTCCGCTAATCCTGTCGGCATACAACTCACACACACAGTGAGGTTTGTTCTGCTGGTTTTCCCTGTTAGATAAGGATGAGTACCATTGATGAGAATCTAGAGTATTGCATTAGCTTTGTGATGAGCAAGTTCCTATAATCCTATCAGAAAAAGGTCGGATCCTGCTGACCTTCGCTCCACTCTGCCCCCAGGTGGCGAAGGTGGAGAAGTTCAAACACACCCAGAGCACAAAGGACTGTCTTCATGCCAAATACGACACGCCCACCTGTGCCACGGTGGTGGCTGATGACCAATGGGGTCATCTGCAAGTGGACGCCACCTCCATCTACCTGCTCACTCTGGCCCAGATGACCGCTTCAGGTACTGAGCAAACCGGCAACCAGCTCTCCAGCACAGAACAGCTTTATCCAGGGAAAAATAAGCATCATGGACTGAATTAAAAAAAAAACACACAAAATAGAATAGAATACAAAAACAGAAATAGTGTTTGAAAAGGGTTTGAACAAAGCAGACACTTTTTTGTCTCCAATCCCTCTTATGCACACACATACACAGAAAAGACACAAACCCAAATAGTCCTTCCCTCCCATTACTTGCTCCACAAAATACATACACACACAGACATACAAACGCACACACACAGACACACACACGCACACTTTACAATTTTCTGTATTTTTCTGTTCACTCCACACAATGTCGACAGAAGCGTCCATCCAGTCTCTCATTACTTTCATACCTATTGTAAATGTTTTTAGTGGTAGGGGAAACGGGAGAACCTGGAGGAAACCTACACAGAATAGTCAATCTCCCTCGTAAAATATCGGCAATAATCTTTTTAATGATTGTAATGTAAGGCAGAACCAGGTAATTCTCCCACAGCTTCATTACAAAGTCCAAGTCATCTTTGTGTCTCCTCCGACTCCAGGTTTTTCTCACTCTTTTAGCTTTGAGTGATTTGTTAATTGCAAGGATCTTTTCTTGTTTCTCAGGTCTTCGCATCATTTCAAACCTCGATGAAGTCGCGTTCATTCAAAACCTCGTCTTCTACATTGAGGCTGCGTATAAAGTAGCAGTAAGCCATAAAACTACTACTTCAAAAATACATTTTAATGACAAAATCTGAACTTATTTGACTGTATTCTATTCTTTCTTTTAGGATTACGGCATGTGGGAACGTGGAGACAAAACCAATCAGGGCATTGCTGAGCTGAATGCCAGTTCAGTGGGAATGGCCAAGGTAGAAGCAAACACTGTCCAATTTTTGTTTCATTAAAAGGAGACAGAAAAAAACTGCTTCTAACGTTTAGCTAATCAATGTATTTATATAATTAGTCATCAATTTCCTTAAAATAAAATGGATGCAAAACAGATGAAGCTAAAGTGACATTGTCTTTCCTGGCAAGTACAGGTTTCTCGTCTTAGTTTATAAATCATTTATCTGTTATCTCCTGGACCAAACCACATGAAAAAAACAAAGATTGGTATCTGCTTTGTCAGTACATATGGTCTCTCTCTGGTCTCTCTCTCTGGTCTCTCTCTCTCCCTGGTCTCTTTTTCTGGTCTCCATGATTTCTCTGGTCACTCTCTTTGGCCTTTCACTGGTGTCTCTCTCTGGTTTCTCATTCTGGTCTCACTCTGGTCTATCTCTCTAGTCTCTTTCTCTCTGGTCTCTCTCCCTGGTCTCTTTTTCTGGTCTCTCTCACAGATCTCTCTCTGGTCTCTCTCTGTTTTCTCTCTATGGTCTCTCTCACTGATCTCTCTCTGGTCTCTGTCTCTGATCTCTCTTTCTGGTCTCTCTGCGACTCGATGGGAAAGAAATAATTTTTGAAAGACATGTTGAAATGTTGTGATGTCACATGAACTCTTGTGAACTTGCTTTGCTCCTGTCTCGGCTTCATACAGGCGGCTCTAGAGGCCATAGATGAGCTGGATCTCTTCGGTGCTCACGGAGGACCCAAATCTGTGATCCACGTCTTACCAGATGAAGTCGAACACTGTCAGGTAACTCGGAGGAATCTCACCCAGAACGCAACGAGAGCCTGGAACAAAACACCACCTTAACCTAGATTAAAGTGAAATTGTTGTGGGGTGAAGTGAATGAGAACCGAAAAAGCAGAAATGCAAAAATTATGATTTAATGATGATGATATAATAAAAGTCCAGGGTAAAAACGAAACAAAAATCCACTCAAAACTTAGGAACATAGACAGGCAAAGACAAGCAAAGACAACAACAAGGGGAGAGGAGCACAGGTACATATAGATAGAAAGATACACAGGGGAAACACATCAGGGCGGGGCAGACAATCAAGACAGGGGAACAGGACAGGAATTAAAACTCAAAACCATAAAGTATTCCCCAACGTTTTTGAGCCATGGCACACCACCTGTTGAATCTGATACAAAACTTAAACTGTGAAGCCTTCATTAAAATCCCAAAGTTATTCTTATCAAAGTATTATACAGAAAATCAGACAAACAAACAAAAGTCTTTCTAATCTTTTACATTAGGTGGGATTAGATAATTTCCAAAGGCACACCAAACACCATCTCATGGGGCACTAGTTGAAAAACACTGCTATAGAGAACTGATTTCAAAATAATACCAAAGTACATATTAACAAAATCCACACCATGAGAGGTTAAATCTGAACTACACTTGGACAAGCTTCAGACAAAAACAACATGTTGTCTTCATCTAATTAGAAAAAAAAGTTATGTTTTGCATACATGTAAGAAAGAGTCTCTATTTGACCCTTTGGGCTGAGAGTTGATTGCCTGAGTGAGGGTGGTCCTCTCTTTTTCATATTTCTGTCTGAAAAAGCTGATCTAAAGATGTGACGGAGACCAAAAGATACACACATGTGAAAAATAGTGATGGATTTAACTACATGGCTATTTTTTATGGTTTGAAAGTTTGGCACCCCAGCTTTAAAGCAGGGATAAACCATGGTAACGTTACTATGATATTAAATAATTAAATACAAAAAATCAGAGGAGAAATACAAATTAATAGATTGTTTTTGAGAATAAATGAATTCAAAAATCCCACGAATGTTCTAATTCTAATGCCTTCTGTCCCAGTCCATCCTGTGCACCATGCTGCCGAGAGCTTCACCGTCAAAAGAGATCGACGCTGGTCTGCTGTCCGTCATTTCCTTTCCTGCTTTTGCTGTTGAAAACGCAGAGCTGGTGTCTATAACAAAGTCAGAGATCATTAACAAACTTCAGGTAATGTCAAAAACATCACTGCTGTAAACTTACAATAGCTTGATTTTGTACGTACTGCTGGGATCATAAATAACACATATCGTTCATCTGGGAAAAGTCAAACAATTGTGAACAAATCAGACCACAACATGAAGTCTTTTTTGCTTTTTTCTGATTGGCTGAGTGAGTGTGGTTCTCTCTTTCGCTCTTTTCTATCTTGGAAAGTTGACCTAAGATCTACTAAAGAAGACAGAGGCCATAAAACACATACATGTCAGTTAGATACAGTAGGAAAAATGTGAAATTGATTCAATACATAGTTATGTTTTGTGTGATTTGAAAGTAAGTAGCTTTAAAATGGTTTTGTTTTTTTTACCTTAAGGGACGCTATGGCTGCTGTCGTTTTATCAGAGATGGATATTGCTGTCCCAAAGAGGTAATCATCCATTTAAATATTCATAAGCTATTAAAACTACAGTAGAAACCAGACATCAGGGGTCAGTCTATTTATTAGAGAGTTGTGTGAAGAAGGTTAAGTTAGGAGTGAAATACATTGAAGTTGTTGTGTCCAGGACCCCACGCGGCTGCACTATGACCCAGCGGAGCTCAAACTGTTTGAGAATATTGAGTGTGAGTGGCCCCTGTTCTGGACCTACCTCATTCTGGACGGAATTTTCTCTGGAGATCATGGACAGGTAGGATTTTTTGGGGGGCCGAGGGATGGAGAAGGGACAAGGATATTTTAAGTGAGTTGCCCAAACCCGGGTCTCCAAGATGTCTGTCCATTCATATCAATCACCTTGGCTCTAGCTCTGCTCTGATCGGTAGCTTTGGGCTGAGAGATGATTGGCTGAGAAAGAGTGGTCCTCTTTTTTTCACTTTTCTGTCCGTAAATGTTGATCCAAAGATGTGACAGAGGCCAAATATACATGCTTGTAAAACCCAGGAAACTGAAGTTAGATGAATTTGATAACATTGTTAATTGTAGTTTGAAAGTCAGGTTCTTCCCGGTTTACATATATGTAAAAGATAAAATCATCCAGATATTTTTCGTTCACCTGTGATGGCATGTCAGTGCTTTGTGGGTCATACAGTAATTCAGTGAAGCAAAATACATTCTGTGTAGAAGTCCCTAATTGTTTTTGCCTTTTATCGTAGGTGGAAGAATATCGAGAGGCACTAGAGGGAATTTTGATCAGACAGAAGAACGGTATAAAACTCCTGCCTGAGCTGTATTCAGTGCCACACGACAAGGTAATCTACAATTCATATTCTAAAAATGGAAAAATAAAAATACATTGATTAAAATCTTGAATAAACCTGTTTCACTTGTATTTCACTTCAAGTTTAACGCCATGCTGTGGAAAATTATTGGAAAAGCAATTAGATGCTTTAGTTTACATTGAGTTTTATGGGACATTTCTCAGGGTATCCAACATGAATATTGTCTGCAGTACCGTGGGTGCCTATGGGTGGGAAAGCTATATGCTAGTAATACCCTATCCAAATATTATAATACATTCATACCCATGCCTGAGGGCTCCTCCAACTGGATATTTAAGGCAGTACACCTGAACCAAGACCCCCCATACCATAAAATCAATTTTAGACAATATTAAACACAAATAATTGGCCATAACAATATCTATGAGGAAACCAGTCTTAGAAACTAAAAAAAATTGTAGTCCAGAAAAGTTGTTTTCAGCTTTCAGATTCACAGTCGGCAATGTGGGTGAAGTGTCTTACTTAAGGACACAACCACAGTTTATGGTGTAATCCCTGTGAAATCCTTAGTCTACATTAACTATGTGCATTGCGGTGGGAAGAATGGGTCTTAAGTTCTTTTAATCAATTGTCCTTCAGTGTCTTAAAAGGTGAGAATAGCCTGATGTTTTCAGGTATTACAAGATGACGTCCCACAGACCTACAGTAGATTACGTACAAACATGACCTTCACTACTTTTATGCTTTTAGTCAATGGTGGATGAAAGCGTTTTCCCTCCTTGCTTGGATGGGAATGTTGTAAGGTATCCTGCTCCCCCTTGAAATTAAGTCTAGTTAAAACCAACATAGAAGTCAAATTCATATTGATATATCACATTTGCCTCTTAGTGTCAATTTAATTTCATGTTGAGGACCTATGGTTTTTGCCAACTTCCTGTTCAATTGTTCCTTTCCGTAACACTGAGGTCTTTCAAATGGACTTAATGTGTTTGTGTTATTACCAGGTGGATGAGGAGTACAGGAACCCGCACAGTGTGGACCGTGTGTCTTTGGGGAAGCTGCCTCACATGTGGGGACAGTCTCTCTACATACTGGGCTGTCTGCTGGCTGAGGTACACAAACAAACACACACAAACACGCACACTCACACACAAACACACACACACACACACAAGGTCTGTAAAATGCGCTATATAAATAAACATTACTTACTTACACACACACACACACACAGGCAAACACTCTGTTACTTTACTCTTTTACAAACCAAACTTGTGGCACACAACTTCCAGTCAATGACATAATCCATGTTACTGGATACGGTTGGAGACCACATATATCGACTATTTTGTTTAATTAAAAAAAGTGCACTGTGCTGATCTGAGCTTATTTGTTTTGGGAATTTGTATTTTTATTCAGGGTTTCTTGGCACCAGGAGAGATCGACCCACTCAACAGGAGATTCTCTACTAATGTCAAACCAGATGTTGTTGTACAGGGTAGGTGGTCACAATTATGATCGGCAGGACTGATTTTTGCAGGGCTCTCTCTCACTAGTTTGCAGAATATGACATGTTTATCTAATAAAATGAAGACAGCATGGGCGGCACGGTGGCTGAGTGGATAGCACTCTCGCCTCTCAGCAAGAAGGTCCTGGGTTCGAATCCCAGTCGGACCAGGGCCTTTCTGAGTGGAGTTTGCATGTTCTCCCTGTGTCTGCGTAGGTTTCCTCCAGGTACTCCGGTTTCCCCTACCACTAAAAATGTGTCCAATAGTTCTAGCATGCGCCTCCTGTACTGGCGACCCCGCTCCCATCTCTGTGTGGAGTGAGAGACAAATGCCCAAAAATTAACAATTGTAAACCGCTTTGAGACTCAGATCTGCAGTGGAAAGGCGGTATATAAATAAAGATTACTTACTTACTACTTACTTACATGTTACGGTCTGATTTGTTCACAATATTTTACTTGTAGAAGAATCTTTCTGTTGAGACAAACATCAAGTATTACTGTCAACCATGACAGAATGCATCAGTTATCATTTTAAAATGTATTTCCTTGTGCACAGTTTGTGTTTTGGCCGAAACAGACGAGATCCAGGAGCTTCTCGGTGACCTCGGGTTTACGGTGCAGAAGATGGCGGAGGTTCAACCGATTCGAGTTCTTCCGGCACGACTCCTCAGCCACATCTATGTCCGGCTCGGTAAAGAGTGAAATTCATCTGAAACAAACATATTACATTATTGGCCTGTCATCCTAGATTACTATTTTGACTCATTGTTTTAAAAAGGATAGATAAATCAACACGGGCGACACAGTGGCTGAGTGGATAGCACTCTTGCTTCTTCCTCTTGCGACGTAAATGCTAATACTTGCACCGACGTACGTTACCATTGACTTCCGATCCGGTGGGTACGCGGCTTTGCTTCTGTCATCACCGAGTGGAGAAAATGGAACAATATCTGAACTCTAAACATTGTAAATTGCTGATCGTGTCTGTAATCACGCACCGTTCCAAACATCACATCTTTGTGAGCGATTGAAAAAATATGTAGTTTGGTTGCACAGGTATACTTTTAGTACACATATGGGAAGAAATAAACAGTCTGAGTATGATGGGTTGTTACGATTCCGAAACCTGTAAACTTTGGAAGAATGCTTAAATAAAGTGTAAAAAATCCTATAAACATTTCAACATTCTTACTCATAATTTGTTTGAATTCCAGGACAGTGTAAAAAACTGAATCTCAGCGGGAGGCCGTACCGACACATCGGCGTTTTGGGAACATCAAAGTTTTACGTAATCCGAGACAGATCCTATATATTCACTCCACAGGTAATAAAAAAGAAAACGCTGATTTCTATATGTTTTAAACTGTATCTTAATCTGTTAATCTTTATTCTTGTTTCATGATTAGTTTTTGGATCAACACCACTTCTACCTGGCGCTGGACAACCAAATGATTGTGGAGATGTTGAGGACAGAAGTGGCGTATCTGTCGTCCTGCTGGAGGATGACGGGACGCCCCACTCTCACCTTTCCCATCACACGCAGCATGCTAGGTACTGCATCGACATTACAGTTTGAAATGGCAAGGCACGTTTATTATTTGTTTTTAGTTTAGCACAGTTGATAGACAAGGCAACTCAAAAATCGAAAATAGATAATCACAATATATGGCCCTTGAGTCTGGAATAAAGATTTACTACAATACATTAAAAATAGTGCAGTCAGGACTCAACATGGGGAGGCAGCGTCTCAGATTCATGCGGCTAAATCTGGAAATGTGAGACAGGCTTCTACTCCTGACAATGTTCTAATCCAAGTTAAAAACAGTTCTATTTAGCTGTACAGACAGGATCGTACCTTGACTTGCTTTAATGTACTTGTTAATGTCATGATATTGATGATTTCTTTCTATCATTGTTTCTATCTAGCTCTTTGGATTGTTTTGTGCATAAACTGTGCTACACAAATAAACCTTGCCAAAAGTTTCATGTTGATCGTTGGAAAAATGGCTGGCTGTTATAATTGGAAAATGTTCTTAAGCTTATGATTGCACAAACATTATCCTTGTGTATTGAAATGTAATATTTGTCTTGAGTAATATATTTTTACTTTATAAAGTAAAGTTGTTATATAATTATTTCATCAAATCTCATACAAACTTTTTTACTGTTATTTCCGTTAAGTTGACGATGGAGACGCCATAGATCCTTGCATCATCGCAACCCTTCGGAAACTACAAGGTGGCTACTTCGTTGGATCACGGTTTGTGCTGACATGAACAAAACTATAATTGTCTTGAAATGCTCTTGTACTACACCAGTATCAAGACATTCAGATGATTTACTAAAGCTGGTGGTGATTGTATTAGGTTTGCTATAGCAGATATTGTTGTGTTTGCAGAGTGCAGATGTCCGACTTGTCCAGTTTCCAGACCACATCGTTTCATACTCGCCTCAGTTTCCTTGACGAAGGAAATGATGAGTTTGAGGAAGACGTGGATGATGATGAGGATGAGGAGCTCGGGGGAGACACTTACGACGCCTATGGGACGTCGGGTAAGTTGTTTTTGGAAAGAAAAACCATCCCCTCTGCTTTAGTTAGTTGTTTTATGCTGGCAGAATCCTCTAATAAAAATACGGACCCCGAAACTAAAGTGTAATGGCGGCACTGTGGTGGTATTTCCTTTATACCAATCACAAATGTATAAAAAACTGTTTTTCTCCACTTTAGAAAACTCAACGGACATCTTTGACCAGTACTTGATGCAGCTTTTACACAGCACTACCACAAAGAGCCACCTCCCTCCCATCCAGCGGGGGCAGCACCATGTCTTCAGCGCCGAACACACCACTCGAGACATTTTGTCTTTAATGGCCAAAGTCCAGGGCATCGACATACCGCGTGAGTCTATTGATTTATACTGTCAAATCTCGATCCATGTAGCCTGAAAGCGTTTTTGAAAAGGCTCCACAGAAGTCACTACGGTCGACTGTCATCCACAGCTCTGCAGTAGAGGTAGTGGAGTTATAAGTATCTGGAAACCATCAGAGAAAATCTTCTGTTTGTCAAGAACTCCTCCCAGATCTGCATCTTTTTTTACTGCTCCACCACTCGCAACAATGTGGCAAAGCCTGACCGTTTTAGAGTTGAGATGAGTTTTTACAAAGATTGGATTTAGCCATATTTAAAGAGGACTTTACGTTCCTCAGCTATAATAGTTTAGCAAAAACACTTGTTGCTTAGTATTACACAGTACTTCAGGGTCCTGTACTATACTACACGCAATCCAATGAAACGGGGTTGAAATGTGCAGATATGTTTGCCTCTTCAAGCAAAAATCACAGTCCTAAACTGGAAAATCATCCGAATATCTCAAATTCTGGAAAAAAAAGTCTGCAAACAAAGAGAAAACAGTGGGGACAGTGAGGAGAAAAGGCATCTTGTGACATATTTCTCTCGTGCTGATCTGTCACCTCTGATACTACCAGGGAAAGACTGAATCTCTCATCTGTAAACTTAACCTGTTTGGTCCTTATGTTTTAGAGTCCTCCATGTATCTCCCCATCACTCCAGCCATGACCACCAGAAAACACAGGAAGACCCTGAACTTACTGGAGGTGCCTCATCTAAACCACGGACCCCACTCCAAACAGCAGAAGGTACACACCCCTCCCATTCCTCCCATTCCACTTTTTCGCTTAGACTAAAAACAAATATGGGCAGTATAGTTGTATGCTCTGTCTGACACTGGCCTCTCTCAGCATCACAGTGAAGCTGATCTGCACCTGCCACGAGACGCTCAGGGGAAAACGGACTTCTCCACTTTAGTGCAGCAGCTGAAGGAATGTCCCACTCTGCAGGACCAGGCCGACATCCTCTATGTGCTCTACCTGATGAAGTGAGTGCTTCTTTGCACATACTGTTGTCTGACTGATAGGACGGCCACAATGACATTTGGAAGTGGGATATTATCGTCAATAGGACTGCAACTAGGAATGGTGATCCACTGACCGACATATATTGATATTTAGTTTAGATATTGTGATTGAGGGTTTCTACATAGAAAAAATATATTATTACAGGTAAAGATCAGTAATAATATCAGTAATGTTCTCTTTAGTCCTGACTCTGGGACCAGCAGGAGGCCAGTCCTTGTGCTCCTCAAGGTCCGAGTTGGTTCATATGACTCTAACATGTGCCATATAAAGCCCCTCATTGGGCTCTTTCATCTTGTACAGTTAAAGTAGATACAAGTCACTGAGTTTATACAAAATGAATGATGATACGCCTTAACTGGGTTTTTGTTTTGTACGTCAGTGTTATTGCTCATTGTTGATATTATAGTTATGTTCATTTGTGGAGCAGAGGTCCGGACTGGCCCGTGGAGCTGTCTGGTCCGGGTAAGGGGGGAGTGAGTGTCCGCGTGCTGCTGGAGGAGCTCTACGTTGAGGCCGGAGCCTCCAAAGAGTGGGGTCTGATCCGCTACATATCTGGGATGCTCCGGAAGAGGGTGGAGGTCCTGGCTGAGGTACAGACCTTTTATTATTGTCTATTATTATTCACATTGCTGGACAGAAACATGTATGTAAGTTAAAGCTGGAGTACCTAACTTCTGTTGTTTCATAAATGACTGTCCCAACAGAAGAGTGACATTTTGTAAAAAAATCAGACCTGCTGTCCTTTTCTTATGAGAAAATGTCATATCTTTTAACTTATTGAGAGCAGAGGACTGGTCCTCTCCTTTTAACTGAAAAAGCTGAACTATGCACTGATGTGACAACTCGTGATAGAACAAAACGGTTTGTGGTTTCAAAGCTTGGTACTCCAGCTTAAATTACAATTACAGACTTGGCCATCAAAAACTACAGAAAAACATTTCCAGTGAGCTGAATCTCTGAGGTAGATTTGTGAAAAACTTGTGTATGTTATGTTATGTTAGAGTTATAATATCTGACAAAATGTAGTGGAATATATAACAAGAAAAGTCACTAAACCACACTGTGGTTCAGCCTCAATTCTCTGTCTAAAATAAATCCTTGTACTTTTACTTTAACCAGTTTTTGAATCAATTGCTCTTTGATCCTCTAAAATGGTGTTATTTAGTCTCTTCTATGTTTTTATTTTTTATTTCTAATCTAAGCATTATCTATGTCCACATATTTGGTTTCACACAGGCCTGCACTGACCTGATCTCCCACCACAAACAGCTGACAGTTGGACTTCCTCCGGAGCCCAGAGAGAGAGTCATCACTGTGTATGTTCATGTTTTAGAAGTTTATATTTTTGCGTATATTTTGACCTTGAAGTGACCCAGTGGCTGTTTGAGTGGATAAATCTTGTGTAGATTTTCTGGTGAGGGGGTTTTCCGTCAACAGAGAAAACCATCCAAACAATTAAACCCATAGCGTCCTACAGACCACTATGATGGAAAGGAAAGCCATCTTGATCCCGCTCATATAGCCACTGGGTCACTTCAACATAGTTTCACCATGTAAGTAAGTAGGTAAAGTTTATTTATATAGCGCATTTTACCGACCAAGGTCACCCAAAGCCCTTCACAATGTTCAGAGTTCAGATATTTTTCCATTCTCTCCACACACGGTGATGGCAGAACCCCAACCATCACCATCCATTCACTCATGACATTCATACCTATTGTACATGTTTTAGTGGTTGGGAAAACCGGAGCAACCGGACAAAACCTACACAGACACGGGGAGAAACATGCAAACTCTACACTGAAAGGCCTGGAAAAAGAAAAGCTCTAACCGCTATGTATCGATATATTCACCACTTAATGTTGTTAAATATGTTTCACAGCCCAAATCCCATAAAAAACACATCACTATTACCATTGAGATCACTCCTGATATTAAAAACTTATGAAATAACACAGGTCAATAAAACATCAATCATTTCAAAATGGAGTGGGGAAAGAAGAAAAACATATTAACTCTCAAACTCAGAGTGTATCTTCTCTGTTTCCAGGCCGCTCCCTCCAGAAGAACTCAATGATCTCATTTATGAAGCCAGTGGACAGGACATCAGCATCGCTGTGCTCACTCAGGTACATTCATGATTCTTTCATTCAAGTTTAGGCAATAATCACATAAATAAATTCGGATTAAATATTATGTTTATTTCCCCTTAAATCCCAGACAATACCTCAACCTGCATGCATTACAACACCATAAACGCAAACACAGATACAGTATACACTATGTACGAGGTTCATCCATTCAACAACACAATACACAACAATACCCTGCAATTAAACAAATCACATAAAAAATACAATCAAACCGTTGCGATGAATAAAGTTGGTATGAATGGTATGCTATATATATTGTACTTACTGTATCATTTGCACACACAAAGCAATCAAGCTTGTGTATCATGTCTGTGTAGCTGATCAGACAAAGCCAGGTTTTCCAAAGTAAATTTAAGAGCACAAATAAAATTTCACAAAATGAGTCATTGAAGCTAATGGTTAAGCTCAAGTCTCGGGATTCACAAACTCAAGAGTGAAATCAAACGGGTGCGAGATCACAAAACACTGAACTCGTCATTAAATCATGTCGTGACCAGTTAAAACAGTCGTCTTCCCGCTACATTACAACACCTGCGGCTTATACTCCAGTACGGCCTTTAGCTGGGCAATATGTACTTTCTTTCCAAATGTTTTGTGCGCCTCGTTAAGAACTCACTGTGACAAATACATACAGGAAATTACAAATAATTATAAAATATATCTAAAACTTGGATGATATAGAAATGGGTACAACCGTCTGTTCGCGGTCAGTTGTTGTGTTCAGCCAAATGCAGCTGTTTTTTATGTGTTTTTGGTGCAGGAGATCATGGTATACTTGGCCATGTACGTGCGCTCTCAGCCCTCTCTGTTTGGAGACATGCTGAGGCTGCGGATCGGACTCATCATGCAGGTCATGGCCACAGAGCTGGCACGCAGCCTCCACTGCTCTGGTGAGAACTCAACAATCTGTGGAGGATCCAAGACTGTTCAAATATAAAGAACAGTTTCACAAAAACACACACACAACATGGAAATCTACAGTAGAGCCAGAGCTATCTTTACTGATGGTGTCATTCTTAGGAGAAAGATTCAGAAATAAATTTAAGCACTATTATGAACTTAAATAAGTAAAAGTCTATTTTCCCAAATAATCATTTCTTTTCTATAAAACCTGTCAAACTGAATTGAAATTGTCTTGTTTTTTGCAATATCTTCAATTATTATTGCTTAAAACAAAATAAAATGTTTTAAATATATATTGATATTTTTAAGATTATACTATTTATGTTTTTATTTAGTAATAGCGCTAGATAAGGGACCAAATGCCTTTATTCTTATTGACCATCATTTAGAAATAATTTTGTCTCAAATGGTATCAAAGTGAAAGTCCCCTGTATTGATATGGAATAGGCTCATATATAAGACACCCTCCAGTTATAAGTTTTTGTGCCCTTGTCTTTGTGGGGGGAGTGAAGCGCTGCCGGGTGGTGGTGGAGATGACATTATGAAACGTATTTAAACTGTCTTTGTTCAGAATTAGTAGTAAAGTAATTATAAAACCGTGAATATTTCCAGGCGAGGAGGCGTCCGAGAGTCTGATGAGCCTCAGTCCTTTTGGGATGAAGAATTTGCTCCATCACATCCTCAGTGGAAAAGAGTTTGGAGTGGAGCGCAGTGGTGAGTTCTGTCGTTTACAAATCTGACTTTTGGATGTTGGGTTTGAGCAGCTGTTGATTATGTCTGCCCAACCCTGGATCACCAGGCAGCACAGTGGCACAGTGGAGTTGGCATGGAGTTGTGTAGGTTTCCTCCGGGTACTCCGGTTTCCTCCGGGTACTCCGGTTTCCTCCGGGTACTCCGGTTTCCTCCGGGTACTCCGGTTTCCTCCGGGTACTCCGGTTTCCTCCGGGTACTCCGGTTTCCCTTACCACTAAAATGTTCAATAGCCCCCCTTGAGCCCAACCCTGCTCCCTCTCTCTCTGCAGCCACTTTTTTCCCCTGTAAAAAGTGGGACTCAGTGGGACGTTCCTGGTTAGTTAAAAAGGTCAATGAAAAATGAATTGTAAAGCCGTGTCTCCAACTATTTTTTGGTCTAAAAATATTGTTTTTGATACTATTACAAAAATTGTGTTTCTTTCTCCAAACTAAAATAGTATCAGATGAAAATGTAGTCTTTTTCTTATTTTTTTTTAGTTTTTAGTTTTTTTAGATTGTATTTATTTGGTATTTTTGTTTGTCTCATAATTACATATTAAACAGAAAGGTGGAAAAAAAAAAGAAAAATACCAATTATCCCAAACCCTCCCCCCCTCCCTCACACACTCCATATTCACACATCATTTGATCCAAAGTAAATAAAATACAACAACAAAAATAAAATAAATATAATAAAATAAAATAATATTAGTCTTTTTCTTTTGATTGTACTTCATGGCTTAGTTTTGTCATCATATTTTGGTGACAGAGCAGGTTTGCAAACAACCTAAACGATGACCAAGCTTTATTATCTATTTAGAACTGAATATTTGCATTGAGGCAATTCCTTAATGTTAAGAATTTTAACATATTCTGGTTTCATGTTATTATTATACATTTTGTCTTGAGAATATTTTGGTCTTTTTGAATAAGACCAATGCATATTAAAACCAATGTTGTTTTTGAACACTGTAATACGTGCAGTAAAATTCTAAATTCACTTTTATTATAACATATATTTTCTAATTCAATTCCAATTTCTCTACAAAGTTGCCATTTCCTCAACAGATCTGAGAACTAAACACAGGAAATACAATAATAACAAACACATGGGAACCATTGGTCCATAGGGAGCGGGATGACCAATGTCTATAAATGTCCATAAATGTCCTTTTGTTTCCAGTGCGTCCGATCCAGTCCACTGCCACCAGTCCTGCCATCTCCATCCATGAGATCGGCCACACAGGTGCCACCAAAACTGAACGCACCGGGATTCACAAACTCAAGAGTGAAATCAAACAGGTGCGAGATCACAAAACACTGAACTCATAATTACATGAACTTTGAATCAAAATGCAGCTAACGTTGTTCCTGCTTGTGGTTCCAGCTCGATGGCTCTCGTCCCATCAGTGTGCGTTAGGTTTGATAACGTTTAGCATGTGTCCCAACCCTCCAGAGTTTGTGCATCGTGACTTTTCATTTTTCAGGTTGTGTCTTCTATTCCCAGAATCAACTTTTGTTTTTATCATTTTATCAATAATGTGGCTCCTGAAAAATGCCTCGAGGTCATGCTTTCCCTCTCTATCAATGGTTATATTATAGGATAAAAGTATATTGGTCATGACAGTTTCCTGTATTTTGATTCAGAAGAAAACCATAGTCTTCCTGTAGCTCTCAGTCTTGGCTTAGGTCGGGTATTGGTCCTGGGCCAATCTTGAGTCTTGGGTCTGGTAAGGCTCTGGTCTAGGTCTGGTCCTTGTATGGGTCTGGTCTTGGTCCGGTTCTGGCCTTGAGTCTTGGGTCTGGTCTTGGTCCAAGTCTGGTCTTGAGTCCGGCCCAGGTCTGGTCTTGGTTCAGGTCTGATCTTGGTCCGGGTCTGGTCTTGGTACGGGTCTGGTCTTGGTACGGGTCTGGTCTTGGTACGGGTCTGGTCTTGGTCCGGGTCTGGCCTGGTGTCTCGGGTCTGGTCTGGGTTCGGGTCTGGTCTTGGTCCGGGTCTGGTCTTGGTTCGGGTCTGGTCTTGGTCCGGGTCTGGCCTGGTGTCTCGGGTCTGGTCTGGGTTTGGGTCTGGTCTTGGTTCGGGTCTGGTCTTGGTCCGGTTCTGGCCTGGTGTCTCGGGTCTGGTCTTGGTCAAGGGCTGGTCTACATGTATCACAGATTATAACTATAACAGCTATAGAAGAAGCTGATTCTTTAATAATAAAATGTAAATAGTCACTATCTTCAGGGCGACAGCTGACCTCGTGGCAGCAGCTTGTGACGTACATAATATTGTTTTTTTAGACGGTGCTATTTGAGCTTTAACATTTTCTATCATTTCCAGAATTGTTTTTTGAAAACAGCCTTTTTCCCATCAGCCTGATTCAGCGTTTTGAGTGAAGTACATCTCACCTCCATCAGCTCCTGTGCATTTATGTGTTTAGATCATCAGCGGAGGTCATTCGTTGAGTAGCACTGTCACTTCTCCGCGATCGACGGTAAATGGCATCAGTGTCTGAACCGGCTCCACTCTCCGCTCATGTTTGATCCACTCAAAAACACACAGAACACGGAAAAGGCTCGAAACATGGCTCACTATTCTAGCTTCTTGGTAGTTCTATTGTATTTATACATTACACAGGTGAAACTGGGGAATTAGAATATTGTTCAAAAGTCCATTTACTTCTGCACTTCAACTTACAATGTGAAACTAATGTATGATATAGACTTATTACTTACTTACTACTTTTTTGTATGGGAGTATACATATATATTTTTGTTTTGTTTTTATATTTATATGAACAAAATAAGATTGAAACAAAACTGGACCAAATGCAAGCCTAGTGTTGTAGACTGGGCTGAATAATGCTGACTTTTAATAATAATTATTGCATTCAGGGTTCAATGTTTATGTCAATATAATTGCTGTGGTTGTTTCCTTGATGAAAATTTTTTCATAAAAAATTATGTACAACATGCCATGTGGCATTGATCCTAGATGTCCACTAGGGGGCCACAAAAACTGCATATTTGAAACCCCAGCATTACACGCACAGTGAAAGATATCAAGCCTGTATTAGTGTTAATGTTGATAATAGCTCCCAGCTGTAAAAACCCCAAACAAGACATATTTTGAGCCATACTTATCAGAATGATATGTCACTTTGCATGTGATGAGTCTGTATCATACTGGTTTCACATTTTAGGTTGAATTAAATAAATAACTTTTGATCAATGTAAAGTCATCAACAATTTATATTCAATTACATTTTTGTTTTGCCCAAACCATGACCATTGATCTTGCTTTGAAAATACAATCTATCGCCATATGTTCTCATTCTACAATAGCAAGAATCCACATCGCGAACGTTTTAAATTGTATCGAGTTAATGCAGCCACATTAAGAGCTCTCTAGTTTCATTTGAATGTGACGGAGCCTTTTCCTGTTAGTGTGTTTTTGTGTTTGAAGTTTTGCATGACGTCACTGAGGTTCAATAACTGCATGATTTCTGTGTAAAATGTCCTTATCTGTATTTTCCACTTTGTAATTACTGTTTCTCTTTCCTAAATCACCTCAGATAACGTGTAGTAACTTGCACTCATCAAAATGAATTATTAAGTTTGATCATATTTTCAGATCTCTCTAAATTACTTTATTATTATTTATTATTTTAGTAAGACAAAAAGTGTAAAGAAGCTTGTACTGCTTGATTACCTGCCATTCATGTGGTATATAAAGGTACACTTTATTTATCCCTGTGGGGAACTTTGCCCTCTGTATTTGACCCATTCTTCAAAGCCACTAGGGCCTCATTCAGGAGCAGTGGTCGCCGTAGTTACAGCTTCCCAGGGACCCATCTCTTGATATTGATGCTCGCCGTGGTCAGGACTACAGGAGGATTATACATGGTTTTAGTGGTTGGGGAAACCAGAGCACCTGGAGGAAACCTACGCAGACACAGGGAGAACATGCAAACTCCACTCCGAAAAACCTTGTTCCTACTGAGATTCGAACCCAGGACCACTGTGTCGCAATAAAGTAGTACTAGCTTCTTTACACTCTTTGCCTTATTAGAGAAGAAGCTAGAAGCAAAATATCCTTTGGTCTGATTATGAAACAATTATTTTGTTAAAGATGGACTATGTTAAATTATTTACATAGTTTTTTAATGTCTTATAAAACATGTATTTTCCTTCTTCATATTCATGCGTAGTTAAGTCATTTTTATAGAATAATTCAAACATAATATACAGTTTCTATTAAATCAACTCTCAAAGTCTATGGATCATTGTGTCCACACTTCTCAAAGCTGGGGTATTTGTTAGAGTCAAGGTCCATGAACAAATCATCTGTAAATCAACTTGTAAAACAGGCCCCTGTGAGCCATTTGTCGCAATGGGCTGAGAGCTGATTGGCTGAAAGAGGGTGGTCCTCTCTTTTTCACTTTTCTGTCTTAAAGGTTATCTAAAGATGTGACAGAGGTAAGAAATGCATAACATGTGGAAACTATGGTGAGGGAGTAGGTAGATGATTAGACAGTTGATAAGCTACTCCAGCTTTAAAATTCCCGAATCTAACTCAATAAGATAACATAAGAGAACCTGTATTCGTCCCACAGTGGTGGAAATTTCAATGTTGCAGCGCACATACAGGACGTTCAAGTGGACATTCAGAAATTGCAGTATTGCACTTCATGATTACAGTATTTACTATTTACAGATGGGTGACATGTACAGACTCAGCAGTTCTCAATAAAGCTGTAGTCAACCTGCTTCTCTCTGATAATCCATGGCATACTAACATAAATAAGCCGTGCTAACATTTGTTTTATGTTTTTATGGCTTCTTTCTGAACGACAATAATAGCACCATCAGTTATGCATCTCCGTTCTATCACAGTGGTATCAATGTCCACTCACTTCCCTACATGTAAATAAGTAAAAGTTGAACTGTGTTTCAAAACCACTCTCACACTATTCTCTGTCTCGGGTCTCCAGCGCTGCAGCAGTCCATCCACCCCCAGCGGGATCCTGTCTCCGGTCAGCTCGTGCCCAGGCGAGGGGCAGCTAGTCTGGGAGGACCGGCAGGGGCAGTGGCTGAGACGCCGCAGGCTGGACGGGGCCATCAACCGGGTCCCCACTGGATTCTACCAAAGAGTGTGGAGGATCCTGCAGAAGTGCCACGGCCTGTCCTTCGATGGATATGTGCTGCCCTCCTCCACCACTAGAGAGGTACTGCAGCGTGCGCTATATAGATAAAGTTGTTACTTAAAGTTTGGGAGCATGTGATAATGATGGATTCGAATATTTCTCCTGGGGAGTGTGTTTACATCACTTATCTTATTAAGGGCTATCTCATTATATTTACTTTATTTACTATCTGTTCAATAAGTTAAAGCTGGGAAAAATATATCTGAGAATACAAGGCAAGGCAAGTTTATTTGTATAGCACAAGCAAGGCAACTCTTGACAAAACAAGATAGAACCAATCAAACCAATTATAAATAATCACAGTCCATTAAAAACAGTGAAGATCACAATCCGTCAGTTGTATGCGCAGAAATGTTTTTGACCTGGATTTGAACGTTGTCAGAGTACGAACCTGTCTCACATTTTTAGTAAGATTGTTGTGGATTTAAGCTACATATATCTTAAATGCTACCTCCCCATGTTTAGGCCTGCCAATGGGCCCCAGCAGGAGGCCAGTCCTGTTTCTGTGAACAGTTATATACCTGTAGATAGATACATACCTATTATCACTCCTTTTTTAATGTTGTGGTTACTGTTTGGCAAAAACCTGACCGTCTCTTCTTGTTTTGTAGATGACGATCGGAGAGATAAAGTTTGCGGTACAGGTGGAGTCCGTGTTGAACCACGTCCCGCAGCCCGAGTACCGGCAACTGCTGGTGGAGACCCTGATGGTGCTGGGGATGGTCGCTGACGTGGACGTGGACTCCATCGGGAGCATCATCCACGTCGACCGTATTCTGCATTTGGCAAATGACTTCTTCCTCAACGACCAGGTGCTTCAAGCTTTAACATCATTGTAGTTATTAAGGCAAAGAGCCAGGTCCAACCTTTATTCAGGCTTTGAAAGATAAATAAAAAAAACATTATGTTGTTATTATTATGATTAGGCTTTATGAACACACAGGTCCATACAAAAAAGACAAAACAAGGAATTTTATTAATCTATTTCAAGAGGGACAGCACACATGAATCAACATTACTGTAAATGTGCCAGTGTTTCTACAGCTTCTGTAGCGCTATTATTATTCTTTCAATAATGTGCAAGTATATTTATTTACATGTATTATTCTTTGACTCTCTTCAGAAGTCCCTAAGTGCTGGTGACTACTTCTTGGAGAAGGACCCAGCAACAGGCATCTGTAATTTCTTCTACGACAGCGCCCCCAGTGGCAGCTACGGGACCATGACGTATTTGTCCAAAGCTGTGGTCACATATATCCAAGACTTCCTCCCCAACACCAGCTGCATCATGCAGTAAAGCGCTTTACAGGTTTAAGGAGTTACTCATAACAATACTATTTATTATTATTCATATTAATATTGATACTTATACAGACCACAAAACCTGTGACTGAATCTACAAATGTGCTTTCCTTTCATCATCAGGATCACTTGAACATTCAGCATTCATGCTTCTAGTGTTTATAATGTAATAATGTAAAAGAGAAATGTATCATTTTATTACAGGAGGATTTTCATGAAGGATACATATATAAATGAATATGACAAAGATGTTTTATTGACCTAATTTAATAACATTTTATGAGTGTTCAAAACCAGTGTATTTAATGGTGTTACCACAATGATTTCTGTATTTTAATAATGAATGTGTGTATTTTTATTTTGTGTGGACATAGTTACATTGGTATTTCCCAGATCCCAGTGTTTCAAATATACATCTATATGTTACCAGTCAAATGTTACTCCTTTGTTTACTTTACTTAACTTCTAAATTGTTAATACACACTGCAAAACAATTATATGAAGCATAATCCGTGAAATAACTTCAGCTCTGTTCTGAACATTTTGATCTGGATTCTTTAAAGTTTTCAAACAAGTTTGAACTTGTCTCAATTCAGAAAAAGAGATAGGAAAAAACAAAAAAGTACGATAATAAAAATAATAATGCATCGGTTTTATGTAGCGCTTTTCAGGACACTCAAAGATACTTCACATGTCATCATTAATTTGCTCCATATACGGTGGTGGTAAACTACTACTGTTACCACAGCTGCCCGGGGACACATTGGCTCCTCCAACCACCACCAACCTTTCACACACACACACACACCACACTCATTCTAGGCAATGTGGGTGATGTGACTTGCCTCAAGACACACCAACAGTTTAGTTACTTTACAGCCCCAGCTGGCCCACTGTGGCACCTGGTGTTCCCAGAGGTCTCCCTTCACAGTACTAACCAGGCCTTGCCGTGCATAGCCTCAGAGGTCAGATAGGATCTGGCTTTCGCATGAAATTATGACCACAACAACAATAATATAAAAGAAGAAAAAAGTTCATATCCACAGGTTTCTTCCTTGTTTTCTCCTTGAAACGAGGAATAAGGGTGACAAATTTGAGGTAAAAATACAACAGACGACAGAAGAACGGGAAAGAAGTCCTGTTCTCCTGTCTTCAGTTAGGTGTAGTGCACTTTTGTTACATTAAGAAGTAATGTTATAGATACTTTCTTGGTCATCTTTTAATAGAAATCAATTAAATGTCCTAAACTGCATGCAGACCAGTAAAAGCATTGATATATTGGTAAAGAGGCCATAGACAGTACATAATCATATTCTGGTCCTATATTATTTCAACATACTACTGAAACAATGAAGACAGTGGGCATACTTAAACTTACCAATACTTTATTTTTGAATTTAAAACTGTTGCAAGACTGGATCAAGAAAACCCTGTATAGCTGCTGATACATAAAGTTTACGAACCAATATTCAAAAAAGAGAATGAGTGTAACTTGAGAGTAACTTTAAACTTTCAGCAGCAGAAACAAGGAAAGGTTGTGTGTATCTGTCTTCTTACAATACATGAAATACAATGTGCTTTAACCAGAAAGCATGGTCAAAGAATGCAACATCAAAAATAATGAACCTACACATTGAATAACTATTGGTACTATTACGGGATGTTCGTATTTATGATTTCCTCAGTGGGGAAATCGTAAATGTAAGTGTTGCATTACAGGCCACAGAATAGTAGGAATTGTGAGCTGAGATCACAGTGAGTAGAGGCCATTGTGAATGCCCTGTAAAGTTTGTACATGACGCCAGTTCTCCACGAGGAGGCGCTGTTCAATCTTGGCTATATATTGTTACCATTGACCCTATATTGTTACCATAGACAGTATATGTATTGTTACAGACATAATTTGCATATGATGGACATCTTTGTTTTGCTGCACGTAAAATGTATTCTTTTCACCCCGTTTCTCATTGGATCTCATGTTCATATCAAAAACACGCTCTGCGCACGTGCCCCTTGTTGTCAGGTGCGCGTTGCTAAGATCATCAGTTGCTAAGGGCATCTTTTAAAACAGCGCATCTTTTGAATCGGTGCAAACCGGTGCAAACCGGTTTGGCTGCTACACAAACTTTTATTGCACAAACTTCACTCGAGGATTTCTTCCACCAGGAAACATCACTGCTGACCAGTGACACACAGACCGCTCCTGACCACCTGCCTACCACCTGACGACCACCTGCTGACCCTCTTTTGTTCGGACTGTGACACTGTGTTGACCACAAAACGTGAGCTTTTCCACTTTCCCTGTTCAGTCCCTATGGCTTTGGCCCGTGTTACTCAGACACACAGTCACTTGGATCTAAGTTAAAGTAGGTTTATGTAAGTTTAGACAAAGGAATATAAGTGCTCTTGTGCTGTGAGTTCCTGTCATATAGTTCCTGTACGTGTAAACCAATTAGTATAAAGTATGCTAGCTTAAAATAGATCAAGTGCTAAAGTTACATGAAACCACTGCCCCGCTGCTGGAACAGTCCATTACAACTGCACACTCATTTAAAGCTGGGGTACCTTACTTTTATAACACAAAATAGATAGATATTTTATTGATCCCCGTAGGAGAATTCAGGTGTCCAGCAGCAGAAGACTCATCCAAGTCTGTTGTACAGTCTGACAGCCGAAGGAAGATAAGATAAAATACGATAAGATAGACTTAATTTCACACTGGAGAAATGTATATGTGACATTTGGCACAGATAAAATCACTCAGATTGTGCAAAAAACAAAAGTGTGCAACCTTTTTAGACTACAGAGTCCAGGGAGCAGCCCACAGCCGAGCTGGCACAGAGCCTTAAAGGTGGAGGCGACTTTGGCCCTTCTTGTAGGGCATTGGTGTTGATGGGACCAGTCCAGTTTATTGTTATTGTGAACACCTAGGTACTTGAAGCTGTCCACCAGCTCAATGTCCTCCCCCTGGATGTTCAGTGGTGTATGGGAAAGTGGTTTTCTCCTAAAGTCGATTACCATCTCCTTGGTCTTACTGGTGGCATCTCTTTTAGGTGAACAATATGGATTTTTAGGCAAAAATGTCTAAGTGGTGTAACCCAAAAAATGTTTGCAAAAACTTCCCCTTACTTAAAAATGGCAAAATTCTTTTTTTATTTTTTTATTTAACACCATGTGATACAGATTCCATAAAAAACATAAATTACTATGTACAACATAGTAGTGCAGAATATATTGGTGCGGGAGTGGGGGGGGGGGGGCATTTTTAAGGCATCCAGAGCATGAAACAAAGAAAACAAAATACTTAATAAAAATAAAATAACGAGCAAGTACTGTCGTGGAAATATGTTGGTGCTAATGTGTAAGTGTGGGTGTTAATGTAGGTGTTCATGTATTTGAGTGTTTGTGTATATGTATGAATGTATGATTATATATGTCTGAAGAAGAAATAGAAAAACAGAACAATAACAGTAAATAAAACAAAAATAATGAGTGCTGCCACTTTGTATTTGTATTTGTATTATTTGTATTTTTTCATTTATTTATTTATTTATATTTTAGTGCGTGTCTAATGCATTAATAACATGCAAGGTTTTTTTTTTTAGTCCTGTCACTGTTGGGTCTCCTCTAGCAATAGCAGGGCCACTTCCTTGTTTAGTCTTGTTTCTTGTGTATGTTGTGTGTATTGTATGTGTGTGTTGAGCATGGCTTATGTTATGCATTAAAAATCCAGGGTTCTGTGGAAGGTCTGCGCTCCAGGGGAATCACCTCTAGAGCGCATGCTCCCCTCCTGAATGGCCTGATCTAGTAGGTGTGAGTCTGTTGTTGGTTTTTATCATTTTTCCAGTTTTGGTTTGGTAAAAAAGAGCTTTGGTTACTGTGATGACAGGGTTAGCAGCATAATACTAATGGTGTTAGGATTCTCGTGTGTGTGTGTGTGTGTGTGTGTGTGTGTGTGTGTGTGTGTGTGTGTGTGTGTGTGTGTGTGTGTGTGTGTGTGTGTGTGTGTGTGTGTGTGTGTGTGTGTGTGTGTGTGTGTGTGTGTCAGTCAGTGGATAGTGGGGGGACTTCCAAACACTAGTGATTAGTCTATGGTGATATTGAGGTATTTGATGAAGGGTGACCAAGTTTCCGTGAAGGACAGTACGTTATCATCCTGAGATGATGGGTGATGTGAGGTGATGTGATGGGTGAGGGAGTTGATCCAGTGGTTGATACTTATTGAGTTTTTGGTTTTCCAGTTTAGTAAGATTATCTTCTTGGCGATAGCTAGAGATGTCAGAAGGCATTTTGTGTATCTGGTAGGTATGGGGCTGGTAGAGGTGGCGCTCAATAGACACAGAGATGGGGAGAGCGGGACTCTGCAGCTCAGGAAAAATGGCAAAATTCTTAACAATTTAGTTTGTAAAACAGTCTGGCATAATATCTAACTATTTATATTATTGATAGATGTAAATATATTCTTCAGTTTGGTTCGACCTTTTTTGTCGGAATGGGCTCTATGCACTTCCGCGTTATAGCTACAACCCCACTTCACTTCCTGTTCGCGGGAAACGGCTTGAGTTTCACTGGAGTTCAGCAGTGGTTTACACGAGTTTCCCAAATAATGCTCAAACGGGAATTAAACTGTGAGGATACTGGGCATTTTTGGGACACAACAGTGCTCTTTGATTGTGCTGTCATTGTGTTTTTGTAAAGTTTAAAAATCGCTCTGAGTGGCCACACTCAAAGCTCTACCTCAGAGAGAAAGCACAGCGACACTTTTGGGTCAGTCTCACAGCTGAATGTATCAATCTAATTACTAAAAAACTTCACTAAAACTCACCTAAATGCCATAGGATAGCATAGGCAGGAAGTGAACGGGCTGATCTGCGTTAACAGGAAATGACGTCACGCCTCCCCGTGCATATAGCCCATACAGGAATTTTGAAAGTCAAGCTTACTTCACTTAATGTCAAGGTGGTGTAACCGGCATTCAGGCGGCCATTTTGCTCA